TGATTATGTCCTTATAGTTGAGATAGGGGAGTGTGATACATATCCTTAGTCCATCTTTTTAAGGCCTGCTCATTAAAATAAAAATGGGGCTCTAACTTTAATGTTTGCTACAGGGAGGATTCAAAAATAGTTCAACAAGTACGTCTGAAAAACGTTCAAAAATGATTATTTTTAATTTTGAAAAATATTAAAATGTGACACATGTTATTACACCAATTTTCAAGGGCCTTTTAAATACATAAATTTTAGCCCTTTAGTGAACAAGTTATTGAGCATTTCAGATTTTTTTAAACACCGACCCGCCGTTAGACAGTCTTCCACCCTACCCTATACATCAAAAAAATGTTGTTTTCTAATATTTGTTCACAACTTTGGTGTTGAAAAAGTGAAGAAGTTTAAGCGTTCTAATGTAAGCCATAATTATAAGTTGCTGTGAAAAAACCACAGGGGGAGGGAACACCCACACCCTCCCAGCCGTGATAGGGTTAATAAGAGAAAATATAAAAAGATAAGTAATAGAAAAATCTGAAGGAAAAAAGTTTGATCAAAATTGCAAAACTCCATAAGGTTTAGGTAAATAAGTTTTAATTTTATTAAATGTCAGCTAAACAACAAATTATCTTTAAAATTATAAATATTAACGAACAAAAATACAACCTTGGTTAATCTTGTTTTATTTTTTATCTTTTTTATGATAGTCATCATTACAATATGTGTTTGATTAAATTCTAGTTTTCAATATTAATTTTTCAAGGTAAAAATGGAGTAAGGATAACCATAAGCCAGTTTTAATAAATGTTAAATGTTAGGTCTGTGGACTAGTGGAGAGCTCAACGACACCCCTAAACTGGTGTGTCAGGCGCCGGTTTGAGTATTGAGTATAAAATGGTCTGATCAGATGGTTTTATCATCAGTTGATTCAAACCAACATAATATAAACATGAAGGTGAATATACAATATAGTTTACATTGATTTTTAGTGGCTTTGCTTTGTGGAACCCCTTTCCTCCATGCTTAGTGAAAATCAAAATATGTATAAAATATTTTCCTGCTAGAAACTTTTAATCTGTAAAATCAAATTTTGAAAACATTTTTAAAACATTTTTTTGTTTCAACTTCTTTCATACCTATATTTACATTTTTACCTAAACAAAGCTAAAAATAATAAAATTTAAAATAATTTGCCCCCAACATAAATTTTAAATTTGACTATGAAGTTCTAGAAAACCACTGAAGCGTAACCAGTACGACCAATTAATGTACTAAACTCATATTCATCTGTCTTATCTCAGGTCTTTATTGTTCTTGCTCTGGCCGCTGTAGCAGCAGCTGACAATGCTCCCAGATACGGATATGCACCTTCACCAGCTTATGCACCTGCACCAGCTTATGCTCCTGCACCAGCTTATGGTCACGCTGCTCCTGCCTATGCTGATGAGGCACCAGTCTATGCCTTCAACTATGGTGTAGCTGATGATTACTCTGGAGCTACCTTCAACCATGGTGAGAACAGGGATGGATATGCCACCTCTGGATCCTACTCTGTTGCTCTTCCTGATGGCAGAATCCAGACTGTCAACTACAAGGTTGCTGACGCTTACAGTGGATATGTTGCTGATGTAACCTACTCTGGAGAGGCCAAGTATGCTTCTGCTCCTGCTCCTTACAAGGCTGCTCCTGTCTACAAGGCTGCTCCCGTCTACGCCCCTGCTCCTGCATACGCTCCTGCCCCTGCATACAACCCTTCCCCAGTCTACCATGGATAAGCTGTAATCAATTTAATCCTGACTGATTATTTATTTATCTATGAAATAAAAATTTATACCCTCATTTATGAAATTACATCATGAAAGAATGCTCTTAAATAATTAGATGTTAACAGCAGAAAAGATAACACATGAGGACCCATTTGATAAAGTGATTGTAGTTAACATAGTTTGAAGCAATTCTGATGAAGTTCAACATAATAAAAAAATGTTATATCCATTAAAAGAGTTTTTAGAGACCTAGATTTTTAAGCTTTTGTCGTACTAACAACAGTTCGCATTTGTCAAAAACGTAGTAAAAATTGTAATGGTTTCTAATTTTGGAAAATCAATCTTGCTCCGCACCTTTCCTAAACCTGAACTTTAAAATAAAATTATAAATTAGGAATTGTGTTCGTTAAAAAACTAAATCTTTTAGCAAACTTTTTATTTACAAAATTAAATCTAAAGGAAGCAGGTAATATACGACCTCATTTGCCTGAAAAAGTTTACTAAATTCTCTTTGATCTACTCAATTAAAAAAGAAGTTCATTTTAAAAGGATTCAAGTTTAATATCACGCTTTAAATGGTTTAAAAGATGTATAATGTAGTTGGAAAAATCTTTTTTTGAAATCAAAACATTCTGAACAGAAAGAAGTCAGATAAAAGACGTTCGAAATTTTTTTTTTTTATTTCTTTGAATTTATTTTTCTCATAATACTGAAAATTATTTCTTAAAAACTTAACAACCGGTGCAATTTTCTTTGGGTAAGGGATTATATAATCAGAACTAATACAGTTAAATAAATGACCAACTAAATTAATAAAATATATATGATAATTCCCAAGAAACAACACCCAGCCCTACAAATACGCATATTTATGCATTTGTTCATAAATTAACAGCAATTAAATTACAGATATTTACAAAATATCTGTAAATAACCAGGCATTTCACAAAATATCTTTTGAGGTTGGTTTCTTTTTAATATTTAGGAAACTTCTCAAATACCCTGGCATTTGGGCCCTTGATTCTAGAAATTTGGGAGATTCCCCAGATACCGAGGAATTTGGGAGATTCCCAAGATATCTTGGAATTTGGTAGATTTCCCAGATACTTCGATATTTGGGAGATTCCCAAGATATCTTGGAATTTGGGAGATTCCCCAGATAACTAGATGTTTGGGAGATTCCCAAGATACCTTGGAATTTGGGAGATACACCAGATATGTAGGAACTTTGGAGATTCCCCGGATACCCAGGAATTTGGGAGATTCCAAAGATACATAGGAATTTTAGAGATTCCTCATTTACCTAAGAAATTGGGAGATTCCCAGGAAACCTTGGAATTTGGGAGATTTCCCGGAGCCTGTTTCAAGGGTCTCCGTAGCTTGGAATAGGGATAGTTCCATTGATGTAACCCCTTCAGTTCTCATACGAACCTGAAGCTAAACTCAGAGTGGATGAGGGAGGGGTGGCTGCTCTCAGGGTTTTGGAATTGCTCCCAGAACAAAAATCTTTTTTTTTGCTAGATACATAAAGGTTTCATTTGAGTTGGTCTAATGCATCTTAACATCTTTATTAGTTATCTTATTAGTTTTTCCAAGTTTATTTCAGAAAAATTAAATTCTTCGCCTTAAATTGATTGGTGCCATTAAAAAATGCGTTTTTACTCATTATAGGTTATTGGTAAATATAAAAAATCTTTTTTTTTGCTAGATACAGAAGGTTTCAAATTTGAGCTGGTCTAATACAATTAATGATTTTTTAGGCCAAATAATTAGTTATAGCCATTTGTTAAAATTATATGCTGTAATTTTATTCTACTCGTCTTGGATTTTAAGATATATACTCTTGAAAAAGATAATTTTCAGATTTGGCCCATTTCTATAAACACTAAGCGTTAGAAATGGGCCAAGTTTTAGTTTTGAAACTAATATCCCCTGTAATGAAAACAAATAAAGGAATGGAGTTTCAGTCACAAACTCCGAATTTAAAAATCCCTAAATCTTTTTAACCCAATGTCATAGACCTTTGATGTTTAAATCGATGAATTCTGTAAGATGAAATAAACTAAATTTGAAATATAAAATTTTCACAATATCTAGTTGAAATATATAGGGATTACAAAATTTAAGTGTTGCTGCAAAGACTCAATTATTTTATGACTAATAAATGGCCTATGCAGAATTGTATTAAATTAAATCTACAATTGATGATTTGGTCTGCAGGATGATTTTGACTGGTCAAAATTCTAAATTAGCGATATCCAAAAGACAGCTTTGTAACATTTAATCCCTTGATATCGTTACAATCCCAGACATAAATCCTAGGGAAATCAAGATCAATCTGCATTCATTAAAAGAACAAAGAGATAAAGGTGTGAGGCTGGGGGAGGTTTTTAGCATGAGTCACCTATACTTTAAATATTACAACGCTTCAGATATTAAGAAGTTAACTTCAGATATCCAGAAGTTAGCTTTATATATCCAGAAGATAACTTCAGATATTTAGAAGTTAGCTTCAAATATCCAGAAGTTAGCTTTATATATCCAGAAGGTAACTTCAGACATTTAGAAGTTAGTTTCAGATATTTACAAGTTAGCTTCAGATATCCAGAAGATAGCTTCAGATTTCTAGAAGTAGCTTCAGATATCTAGAAGTTAGCTTCAGATATCCAGAAGTTAGCTTCAGATATCCAGAAGATAGCTTCAGATATTTAGAAGTTAGCTTCAGATATCCGGAAGATAGCTTCAGATATTTAGAAGTTAGCTTCAAATATCCAGAAGTTAGCTTCAGATATTCAGAAGTTAGCTTCAGATTTCTAGAAGTTTGCTTCAGATATCTAGAAGTTAGCTTCAGATATCTAGAAGTTAGCTTCAGATATTTAGAAGTTAGCTTAAGATATCCAGAAGATAGATATTTAGAAGTTAGCTTCAGATATTTAGAAATTAGCTTCAGATACTCAGAAGTTAGCTTCAAATATTTAGAAATAGCTTCAGATATTCAGAAGTTAGCTTCAGATATCCAGAAGTTAGCTTTAGATATCTAGAAATTAGCTTCAGATATCCAGAAGTTAGCTTTAGATATCCAGAAGTTAGCTTCAGATATCCAGAAATTAGCTTCAGATATCCAGAAGTTAGCTTTAGATGTTAAAAAAAAATTTGATTAAATATGTTGTATTACTACAATATCTGACGCTAACCTCTATGGAGAGCTTTGAACGACGCCCAAACTCTGGAAGTGGAGCGTGGGTCAGGTGCCGGTTTGAGTAAGTATAAAATGGTCTCATCAGTTGGTTTTATTACCAGTTGATTCAAACCAACATACTACAAACATGAAGGTGAAAAAACAAGTTCTTATTTCATAAAAAAAAACAATTAAAATTAATCTTTGTGTTCAATGTCTAAAAACCTTGTTTGATAGATTCATGAAAAATATTTTCAGGTCTTTATTGTTCTTGCTCTGACCGCTGTAGCAGCAGCTGACAATGCTCCCAGATACGGATATGCACCTACACCAGCTTATGCTCCTGCACCAGCTTATGCTCCTGCACCAGCTTATGCACCTGCACCAGCTTATGCTCCTGCACCAGCTTATGGTCATGCTGCTCCTGCCTATGCTGATGAGGCACCAGTCTATTCCTTCAACTATGGTGTAGCTGATGATTACTCTGGAGCTACCTTCAACCATGGTGAGAACAGGGATGGGTATGCCACCTCTGGATCCTACTCTGTTGCTCTTCCTGATGGCAGAATCCAGACTGTCAACTACAAGGTTGCTGATGCTTATAGTGGATATGTTGCTGATGTTACCTACTCTGGAGAGGCCAAGTATGCTCCTGCTCCTTACAAGGCTGCTCCTGTCTACAAGGCTGCTCCCGTCTACGCCCCTGCTCCTGCATACGCTCCTGCCCCTGCCTACAACCCTGCCCCTGTTTACCATGGATAAGCTGTCATTAATGTATTCCTGTGTATTTATATATTTATGGAATAAATATCAAAACTTTACAAAAGTTTTGTACAATTTTTTTTGTATTATCTATTTTTATCAGACCATCATACACAATTTTTCTGTGGCAACTCCCATGAATTCAGGGAAGGTTTATGGACCATTAAAATTTAAAAGTTTGCCCTGAAAAAAATCAGAAAATATTTGAGCAGCATTTAAAAGCTAAAAAATTAACAAAAAGTTTTGCTTTATTTTGCAAAAGTTTTTGTTTTGCTGGAAACCCTGTGGATCCTGAAACGCTAAACCTATCGCTTTTTCTCGGAATTTGCGTCATTTCTTACACACTTTTGTACAATATTTACGCATTTTTGTGCACTCTTTGTGTGGAATTTTCACATTTTTTTAACACAATTTGTGTCAAACTCATGCTGCACAAATTCATTATTTTTTTCTTTGTAAGTAATGCTCAAAATGCGGAATTTGTACGGAACGATTCTTCCATTCCACTGAAAACCCTATTTAAAGTCAGTCAATTTATCCTGAACAATTTTTTTAAGATCTAGATATTTATTTACGTATCGAGGATATATTACAACTTAGTTTATATGGATTTAACAGAAAAAACTATTTTACGATAGTATCGTTTACATACATTAATTAAGAAGTAATCTATTAGTTTCCAGATACATTTTTTTTTCATTATTTTTTTATCAAAATTGGTATTACATTTAAAATCGAGTATTGACGAATCAGCAGTTCAAACGAAAAAAAAAATACAATTTATTCAATAGGATAGCATACTCGTATGCAATGTGACTTAGCAATACGATAGACACGGTGTGTTTTATCAATTATTAGAAAATGCTATGATTAACTTTGTGCATGCTTTCGCAAAAACATGCCACGGAGACGAGTTCTATTTTTTTTATTAGAGAAAATTGATGTTGGCTTCATAACGAGAAACATTGACCGTTCCTCGTTGGTATTGAGGCAACAAATGCGTTGATTCACATTTGTTGATGGTTTCTAATCAGAATTCATTGCCTGAAATTGAGAGAAACTTCGCACAATTATTACCTTTACTTGCGCAATTAAATTGCACAGAATTGCGCTACAACTGCACACAGTAAACAATTAAAAATTAGTATTTTTTGTTAAAAGGATAAGTTACATACCTTATTCATAAGGCACCCTGTAAACCATTGACCAACCAAACATGATAGTAATAACTATTTTCTATCTAAAAATTACTTTTTTCAATAGTGTAGAGGATTTCGTAAATCACACTAAAGGAAACCAGAAACTTGTATTTTTAAACCCTATAAGGCTATATCTTTGCAATGTAAATTGTTCATCTATAGGTTGTGTAAAACTTTCCTTAAAACTAAACATAAACGCAGGGAAATTCAGCGCAAATGCTTAAAATGGCATGCAAGTAAACCCATGTAGGGTTTCACTTGCATAACTCTCAAAAGAAGAATTAACAGAGGTCTAGTCAGTGGTCACACCTAAACAGCATATTCTTTCCTATATCTCTTTGCAGCAAAGATTCTCGTGGCAATTATTCCAAGGTAATAAAGTTCAAACTGTCATTCTGCTATAAACTTTTTTACCGTTTTTAACCTAAAACCTTACTTTTGGAATTGTTTCAAATTTTATTTCATAAATAAATAAAAATAAAAAGGAATACATCAATGACAGCTTATCCATGGTAGACAGGGGCAGGGTTGTAAGCAGGGGCAGGGGTGTATGCAGGAGCAGGAGTGTATGCAGGAGCAGGGGCGTAGACGGGAGCAGCCTTGTAGATAGGAGCAGCCTTGTAAGGAGCAGGAGCAGAAGCATACTTGGCCTCTCCAGAGTAGGTAACATCAGCAACATATCCACTGTAAGCATCAGCAACCTTGTAGTTGACAGTCTGGATTCTGCCATCAGGAAGAGCAACAGAGTAGGATCCAGAGGTGGCATACCCATCCCTGCTCTCACCATGGTTGAAGGTAGCTCCAGAGTAATCATCAGCTACACCATAGTTGAAGGCATAGACTGGTGCCTCATCAGCATAGACAGGAGCAGCATGACCATAAGCTGGTGCAGGTGCATATCCGTATCTGGGAGCATTGTCAGCTGCTGCTACAGCGGCCAGAGCAAGAACAATAAAGACCTGAGATAAGACAGATGAATATGAGTTTTGTACATTAATTGGTCATACTGAGATGGAATTTAAAGAATTTGAGCCGCGGTTTAAATCTGCCAAAACCCGGTTTAAATTAAGCGCCGGTTTAAATCTTAAAACATTTGATACAATTTTAAGTAGAACCAACCATATTTAAGCCACGGCTTAAATTTAAACCACCGCTCAAATTCTTTAAATTCGGCCACAAGTTACGCTTCAGTGGTTTTCTAGAACTACATAGTCAAATCTACAGCTGCCAGAGCAAGAACAATAAAGACCTGAGATAAGACAGATGAATATGAGTTTGTACATTAATTTCATAAGCTAAGATGTAAGAAAATTTTTAAAGTAAAATATAAGGGGTAAAATTCGAATTTTGTTTGTATCCAATTTATAAAAATATCTGCACACTCTTTGGTTGTTGTAATTTAATAGTGTACCAAGAGAAAAGTTAGCCAGTAAAATAAACCACATAAAGAAAAAATGTGTTCTAGAATATTAGCTCGTTTAAAATTCTAAAATAAAAAGGAATATTCACTACCAAGAAGTTATAAACAAACAAACATTAAATTTTAAAATCTGAAATGTTTTGAGCCTTGTAAAATTAAGTATTCACCTTCATGTTTACAATGTTGGTTTGAATCAACTGATGATAAAGCCATCTGATCAGACCAATTTATACTTAATTTAAACCGGCGCCTAGCACACCAGTTCAGAGTGGCGTTGAGCTCTCCACAGAGCTGAGGTCAGATGTAACTGTCATTTGACATTTATTAAAACGGACTTGGGGTTTTCTATTAACTCCATTTTTACACTGAAAAAAAATGAAAAAATGAAATCAGAATTTTAAGTAACCAGATATTGTAATTATGACTAGAAATGGGCATAGTTTTTGTGAACAAACAACATTTTAAGAACGAATAATTTTTTTTTTAAACAATGGTGTCTTTCAGGAAAAAAGACTATAGAAATGAAAGATTCAAAATAATTTGAACAATCTTTATATTTCATGAAAGAATTTGAAAATTGATTAAATTTTTAACTGAACAAACGAATTTTCTGAATGATTTGGAAAAAACGATAGTTTTTTACTGAATGAACAATTTTTTTAACAAACGATTTTACTGTCGAACAATTTTTACTTAACGATTGTTCAGTGAGAAAATGAACGAAATGGATGGAAAATGAACGAAATGGATGGAAAATGAACGAAATGGATGGAAAATGAACTATAATGTTGAGAACGATCGCATAGATGGAAAATGAACGACAATGTTAAAAACGAACAAGATATGTATTATTTTGAATGATTGACCAAAAAACAAAAGAAATGATGAACAAACAAACCAAAAAACAAAAAACGAGAATGCCTATCTCTAATAATGACTGAAATAAAATACTTGTTTGAACACAAACATTAATAACCAACCTTTTTTCCTTTTTTTGTTGTTAAATATTTATAATTAAAAAAATATTCAATTGTTTACCTGACATTCTTTAATTCAAAAACTTTTTTTTTAACTGGATTTTCAAAATTTAAAGAAACTTTTTCCAGGCTAATTTTCATTTTCAAATTGACAAATTTTGGAATTTCTCTGAGGCTAAATATGTACAAATCTGGGTATCAAAGGGTCTGCTGACGTATTTTTAAGTCACCCTCCATTGAAAAAGTGTCCTTTTCCCAAGACACCCCTTAAACCATTAAATTAGCAAAAATGATAAAATATCCTCTTGTTTCTTTCTAAAAATAGAAAACTTTTAATTGCAATTAATATTTCCAGCAGAGGCAAGCTATAGATAATGTACAAACTTCATTATCTCGTATTAGGCTATAAAGGGTGTCCCAGGAAACATGACAGTTGGTGAATAGTTTAGAAGTTCTTCTTCCATAATTTGTTAAGTTGTTTGATACCAAAGAACATAGTAAAAATATTATACGGGAGTCATGTTATAGGAAATTTGAGTTCAAAGTGAAATATCTTTAAGCAAAAGGTTTTTTTTAACGAAATAAACTGCTAAAAGCTTTAAATATCTAATACAGAATATGGAAGACAAGGTTCATAACTATTTATCAACTGTCATGTTTCGTGGGACACCCTGTAGTTTCAAAGATTAATGTTGTGTATATTGACGGTGAATGTTTAAATGAAGGCTCACTTTGCTTAATGTTGACAAAGCCTTAGATACGAATTTTGTTTGATTGAGCCATGCAAATACAAATTAAAAAGATGCCTTTTTCATTTCTTCACTGTAAATAACATTTTTTATTTGATTATAATGCAAACTACTGTGTTATTTTCTTAAAATCGAAACTAATCCACTTGCATTTTAGACCCCCCCCCTGGCCTGGCCAGTAGGAGTAGGATTAAGAAATAAAATTTATAGAAAGTAATTAGAGGCCGGTTTGTATTTTCTAAATCTGAAATAACCCTTCAGTTAGAGACTGATTTTTTTTTATTTTAAAGTTCCTGAAAATGAACTTAAAAACAGGTAAAACAATTTATTTGAATAAAAAAAAATATTTTTTAAAGATTATTCCAACCTTTTTATATTGAAATAAAGTAGGCATTCTTTTTATATACCATGATAATATTTCAGCAAATCTATTTTACTATGACGCAATAATCTTAAATCTCATTTCATATTTGTTTTAATTAACGTATTTAGCTAAAAAATGTGTTCTTAAAATATTTTTTAGATTTTAACATAGGAACCTCTTTTTTTCTATTACTTTTGGTTAAGTAGCTTTATGATTATAATTTTTCTTACAATATTTTATGAACTATTTTTCTCCATTTTTCTATCACTTTTATCTGAGAAGCTTTTGAATTTCTATTCCTAAGCAAAAGCCTGGTTTCCTGGTGCTAAAGGTTTAACTGTAAAGCATCTCTAAACATCTAATAAAAAGCTGCAACAGCATAAAACATAAAACATGATCAATGCTTTAATAAATCATTAAGAAGTTCAACTTTGCGGACATTCGAAAATTGTATCTGCTTTTACCAATTATTACCTCATTATTTCAGTGTTATTCGAGTATTGTCCCACATAATAATTTCGTAAATAAGAGGTTTTATGTTTTATTCCATAAATAGATAAATAAAAAGGAATACATTAATGATAGCTTAGCCATGGTAGACAGGGGCAGGGTTGTAGGCAGGGGCAGAAGCATATGCAGGAGCAGGTGCGTAGACGGGAGCAGCCTTGTAGACAGGAGCAGCCTTGTAAGGAGCAGGAGCAGAAGCATACTTGGCCTCTCCAGAGTAGGTAACATCAGCAACATATCCACTGTAAGCGTCAGCAACCTTTTTTCTATTAACTCCATTTTTACACTGAAAAAAATTGAAAAAATGAAATTAGAATTTTAATTAACCAGATATTCAATATTGTAATTATGACTAGAGATGGGCATAGTTTTTGTCAACAAACAACATTTTTAAGAACGAACAAATTTCCGAAAAAAAACTTTAGGACAAACGACATAGATTGTTCAGAGAAATGAAAGATTTAAATCAATTTGAACAATCTTTATAGTTCATGAAGGAACTTGAAAAATGATTAAATTTTTAAATGAACAAACGAATTTTCTGAATGATTTGGAAAAACGATAGTTTTTTTTACTGAATGAACAATTTTTTAAACAAACGATTTTACTGTCGAACAATTTTTACTTATCGATTGTTCAGTGAGAAAATGAACGAAATGGATGGAAAATGAACTATAATGTTGAGAACGAATGCATAGATGGAAAATGAACGACACATGTTAAAAACGAACAAGATACGTAGTATTTTGAATGATTGACCAAAAAACAAAGGAAATGATGAAGAAACAAAACAAAAAACAAAAAACGAAAATGGCTATCTCTAATAATGACTGAAATAAAATTCTTTCGTTTTAGATTTTCTCTTCTGTGGAAACATTTTTGACTAACATAATTGTTTTGTTTTGATTTTTTTCTTTGTTTGAACACAAACATTAATAACCAATCTTTTTACCTTTTTTTGTTGTTAAATATTTATAAAAATATTCAATTGTTTACCTGACATTCTTTAATTCAAAAGTTTTTTATTTTAAACTGGATTTTAATGAAACTTTTTCCAGTCTAATTTTCATTTTCAAATTGACAAAGAACCTGTCAAATCTTTCGTTGGGATGTGTAGAAAGATGAAAATTTCCCTGTATGATAATTGAAGGACTGCAGTATGGTTTTGGTGAATTATATTGACGTACTAAGCCTAGGGGTGTCAGAAATGATTTTTTTTGCATTTTTTTGAAAACGTCAAATAAACCTAAAAAAGTTTAATTTTGATAAAACTTTTTGTTCTGGATGATTACAAATATCTATCTAAAACTTTCTTAAACTGGCATATTTTTTCTATATTCATTTAGTTAAGAGTTTGAGTTAAAATAAGTATTAATAAATATTGCTTTATATCGAGTAGATATCATTATACATATCGATGTGAAACCTTTCCGACCTACGAAAGATGCCCATCTGACCTACTAACGTGTCCATGCGACAGCTTAAAGTAGGTCGGATGCACCAATATGCTGTTTTTAATGTGCCCATCCGACCTACAGTGCATCGGACCTACCACAGCTGTTAAAACCACGTGCTCGTAGGTCGGATGGGCAGTAGAGGGGATGGGCGTAGGTCCAAAAATACACCATCCTTCAATTATCATACAGGGAAATTTTCATCTTTCTACACATCCCAACGAAAGATTTGACAGGTTCTTTTGGAATTTCCAAGGAGAATTGAATACAAGGAGGGGGCGATAAGGTTTCCTTACACTTTGCTGTGACGTTTTTGGACTGCTGAAGAACTAGTTTTTGCGTAACAAAAATAACAAAGATTGTAAACAATAACACAACATCTGGCGCATCTCTGGCGTTAGATGAAGATTCACCGTATACTAACTCATGTTTGTTTACATTAGATCGGCTGCATTTATTCTTGTTGTTACGCAAAAATTAGTTCTTTAGCAGTCCAAAAACGTCACAGCAAAGTGCACGGAAACCTTATCGCCCCCTCCTTGTATTCAATTCTCCTTGGGAATTTCTATGCTGCTGAATGTGTACAAATCTGGGTATCAAAGGGTCTGCTGACATATTTTTAAGTCACCCTCCATTTAAAAAAGTGTCCTTTTCCCAAGACACCCCTTAAACCATTAAATGAGAGCAAAAATGATGAAATATCCTCTTGTTTATTTCTAAAAATAGATAACTTTTATTGCAACTAGTTTTTCCAGCAGAGGCAAGCTATAGATAATGTACAAACTTCAAAGTGAAATATCTTTAAGTGACAGGTTTTGTTAACGAAATAAACTGTTAAAAGCCTTTAATATCTAATACAGTATATGGAAGACGACGTTCATAACTATTTATCGACTGTCATGTTTCGTTGTACACCCTGTAGTTTAATATTTAGTTTAAGATTAATGTTGTGAATATTGACGGTGAATGTTTAAATGAAGGTTCACTTTGCTTAATGTTGACAGAGCCTTAGATCAAAAAAATTTTTTATTGAGCCATACAAATACAAATTAAAAAGATGCCTTTCTCATTTCTTTACTGTACACTGAGGCAATAATCTTGAATCTCATTTCATATTTGTTTTAATTAAAGTATTTAGCTAGAAAAATGTGTTCTTAAAGGGAGTGACCGGCTATGTAAGGTAGTTGAACTGAGTATGCAGTGTTGTAGAAAACTTCTTTCGGATTCATTTGAGACATATTAAACTTTTTAAAGATCTGTAAATCCTGAGTTTGAGCGCAAATTCGACGTTCAAAACTCCTACTTTGATGGTGGATACGTTTTCAGAATTAGTTTTATTTATTTATTAAATAACGACAACGAAAAATAAAGTAAAAATTATACAGTAATCTAATTAGATGATTAGGAACATATTTCTCAAAAGAAATTTGTCAATAAATAAATGCTTAAAATCGATTATTTCGTTTTTTATTATTTTATTAAATTTCTTATTTTCTTTGAATTTATTCGCCGATTTCTTCAAATTCTTCAAATGTCGTCTTTTCAATAATAATTCTAGAAAATCTGCAAAAATCTTTGTGAATAATGGGAAACCAGAATAATGAGAAAATAGAAACATAATAATTGAACAAGATTACTTATTTTCGATGATAAGATTAATTTTTATTTTCTCAACATGTTCTTATACATGAGGTCTGTAGTTTATTGTCGTCGTTATTTAATAATTAAAAAAAACTAATTCTGAAAACGTATCCACCCCCAAAGTAGGAGTTTTGAGTGTCGAATTTGCGCTCAAACTCAGGATTTACAGATCTAAAAAAAAGTTTAATATGTTTCAAATGAATCCGAAAGAAGTTTTCCACAACACTGCATACTCAGTTCAACTACAGGGTGTAAAAGTACAGGGTGTCCCACAAAACATGACATTTTATAAATAGTTATTTTTGTATAAACAAATATATTGCTTAATAATATTTTACTTTGAAATCAATTTTAATATAACATGACTCCCATATAATATTTTTATTGATCTTTGGTATCAAACAACTTGAGAAATGATAGAAAAAGACATTCTAAACTATTCACCAACTGTCATGTTTCGTGGGACACCCTGTACTTTTATTTTAGAAGTGTTTAGATTTATATTCCTGAGCAAAAGCCTGGTTTCTTGGTGCAAAAGGTTTAACTATGGAACATCTCTAAACATCAAATAAAAAGCTGGAACAGCATAAAACATGATCAATGCTTTACTAAATCTTTAAGAAATTTAACTTTGTGGACATTCTAAAATTTTAATCTGCTATTACCAATTATTATCTCATTATTTCAGTGTTATTCGAGTATTGTCCCACATAATAATTTCGTAAATAAGAGGTTTTAGGTTTTATTTCATAAATAGATAAATAAAAAGGAATACATTAATTATAGCTTATCCATGGTAAGCAGGGGCAGGGTTGTAGGCAGGGGCAGGAGCGTAAGCAGGAGCAGGGGCGTAGACGGGAGCAGCCTTGTAGACAGGAGCAGCCTTGTAAGGAGCAGGAGCATAAGCAGGAGCAGAAGCATACTTGGCCTCTCCAGAGTAGGTAACATCAGCAACATATCCACTGTAGGCATCAGCAACCTTGTAGTTGACAGTCTGGATTCTGCCATCAGGAAGAGCAACAGAGTAGGATCCAGAGGTGGCATATCCATCCCTGTTCTCACCATGGTTGAAGGTAGCTCCAGAGTAATCATCAGCTACACCATAGTTGAAGGCATAGACTGGTGCCTCATCAGCATAGGCAGGAGCAGCATGACCATAAGCTGGTGCAGGAGCATAAGCTGGTGCAGGTGCATATCCGTATCTGGGAGCATTGTCAGCTGCTGCTACAGCGGCCAGAGCAAGAACAATAAAGACCTAAAATTGGTATAATAAAAGAAAGATTGTTGCATGAGAATGGGGAGTAGAGGAAAGGGAAAATTGGTTTCCTAACAATGGTTAAGCTAAATTAAATTTTAAAAAAATTGTGTAACAAATATTTTGATTTTGGGAGGATATTTTCCTTATCTTTAGAGTTTTATGACTTTTTTGTATAGCTTATGTGTCAAACTTTCTAAGCTGTTTTTTGATTAAATTTCAAAAAATTGAATGTTTGGGACAAATAAATTCTAGTTATGAATTATGAAACCTGTAACTGAATAGGTTTTTAAAATGAATTTTACAAGTAAAATATTGATAATCTTATTCCCTTTTAAATTAGAAAATTAGTTTGTTGTGTATTTACCTTCATGTTTGTATTATGTTGGTTTTGAATCAACTGATGATAAAACTATCTAATCAGACCATTTTATACTCAATACTCAAACCGGCGCCTGACCCACGCTTCAGAGTTTGGGCGTCATTTGTAAGCAGAAAGCACAATGTTCAGAAACAGATATTCTCTAAAGTAACTTCTAACTATGTCTACAGAGGAGGGGTGGGGGGGGGAAAGAATTTGGGACAAGAGGGGAATAAAAAACATTTTTTAAATTCTCTAAAATTTGTATTAAAGTGTCAGAAATTCTTTGTTAAAATGTGTTTAAGTTAATATATTCTTTAGTAAGGGGGGTTGAAGAATATATTCTTTAGTGAGGGTGGTTGAAGTATATATTCTTTAGTATAGGGGGTTGACGGATATATTATTTAGTAAGGGGGGTTGAAGGATATATTCTTTAGTGAGTAGGAGATATTATTTGGTGAGGGGGGTTGGATTGGATATATTATAAGGTGTGTTTATTTCGTGGTGTGGTGGAGGTTGGGGGGTTGGATTGGATCGAGGGGGTGAAGGGAATATTTTTTATTGAGTGTAGTTAATGGGTGGATCTATTAGTTTGTGAGGTAATTAATTGATATATGAATATATGTAATATTTAATATCCTATGTCTACATGTCTTACTTTAAGCAAAAAAAGAAGAAAAAAAAACATTGCATAAACTAAGGTTTAAATCTAATTACAGAAACATAATTGTGCCGATTTTAAAGAATTTGAGCCGCGGCTCAAATATGGTGGGCCGTTCTACTTAAAATTGTATTCAATTTTTCAAGATTTAAGCCGCGCTGAATTGAAAACGGTTTTTTGGGATTTGAGACGGGTCTTAAATTCATTAAATTCGGACACAGGGCTATTACATTCGTTTTTTCAATAGGAATTCAATCTCGTTTAGTCTATACTTGTCTTTTTATACTTTTTCATGGAAAGTCCATCCACCGACGTAAAAGTATAAGAAAGAAATATTTAAGTTTGATTTGTCAAATTGTGATCAAAAGACAATGTTTGATGGCTGAAAGACCGAACCGTTAAATCTGCGTGAAATAATCGTTTTTCTCTTGTTCTTGAAGTGCTTGAATACGTAATGATTACGTATGTAAAGGTTTAAAGTTGAATCTACGTGTCTGCTCCAGGTTCAGGATACGTATGGATGGTTCCTCCTTCTCCATGTATACCTGAGATACGTGTGTCTCCGTGTATACACAAACACTGGTCTCACCTGGCAGATTCGGCACTACCAGAGATTTCTCAGTTTCCGGCTTATTTTCTTCAATTTAACACCTTCTCACCATCCCACAAATACTAGATTTATTTCTATCAACGACATAGCTTCTCAATCCCAAGCCAAGGTTAGTTAGTTGAATCCTAAATTGCACAATTTACCATTAAGAAGGGTTGTTCAGGGGAAACGCAGGACTGTATACATGCAAACAAAAATTGAGAATATTGCAGACCAATTACCACAAAAAAGTGGAAATATCGTTGTTTTCTTTTTTTTTTAAATTATGCTCAGAATTTTCAATGTGTGAACTGCTCTGAACCTGATATATCAGTTGTAATAAAATCCTTACTTGAATATGGAAGAAAAAAGACTTAAACTACATTTGATTGCTTAATACGTATAAGAAACTAGATTTAAATCAATTATTGTGTTAAATCATCTGCTCATTGTTCTAAAATAATACGTTTTTAACTGCCCTCTCCTTATCTTGTCAATTTCTTTAATTATTGAGTGTGAAAAGGAAACATGTTCGAAAATGAGCGAAGGTAGGAGGTAAGAGGAAGGAGAGGAGGAGGAAGGAAGGAAGGAGAGGAGGTAGGAGGAAGGAAATTGAGGATGTAGAAGGAAGGAAGGAGAGGAGGTAGGAGGAAGGAAGGAGAGGAGGTAGGAGGAAGGAAATTGAGGAGGTAGGAGGTAGGAAGGAGGAGGGGATTTCTTTTAAATAAAACCGAAATGCAAGCCTGTGAGAGAGTTAAAGGGACTATAAGCGCAATTTAAAGCAACTCTCCGGCCTCCATGAAAAGATGGTATAATGCCCGATTCACAACTCTACCTTTAAAAGCGGTGTCTGGTCAAATCAAAATTAGATATCAATGTTTATGATTTTTAACTGTGGGATGTCTACAAAAATGACTTGCGCATTTAGACTGCAGCAGGAAAACATAAAGGAATTATCAAAATTAAACTCTTTTAAGCCTAGACAAATTCCAAATTATTGATCAGATTAAGATTTCAAGGGTGAAATTTGCATGAAGGGTCACTTAAAATTACACTTTAATAAAAAAATGGAAAACAGCTAGCAGAAAAAAATTATAAGAAGACAAAAATAAGCATTCTTATTTCAGAATACTTGAATTCATATCTCAATATATTCGTTGATTTTAATCAAGTTCATTGAACTAGAAATCCATGCGGTCACGCTTACATAATTCAAAACTTTTCTGTTAGTAAACACAAATTTTATTTCATCTCAATAATATTGTTTATTAGACTGGAGTTTGGCCATTTTCCTGAAATTTATTTCCGGAAATTAATAATGGATCATTAATGACGTGTAAAAAAATGGATCAAATTAATCATTAAATTGGGATTCTTAAATCAAATTAGAACATACGCAGAAAGTATTGTTATCAATATATATAATCAAACGTATATCGGCATTATTGGTTTCAAAAGAAATCAATGAACTAATAATAGTTGATGCGTCATTATTATTTAATTAATTATAAACTGAATCAAAAAACAACTGATCAAACAAATCAATGGAGAAATCAATGATTGCCTGGGTTCGTCTAATCAATGGTCTAAGTAGACTAAATTGAACCCCTTTTAGCTGACCGCACAAGATTAGTAGTTTATCCGAAACATATCTCATGTAGTTCAACTACTTCTTGTTATTTATTAATCTTATCTCAGGATTATTTTATCACTTTAACGAAATGAAAAATGATAAATGAAATGTCTAGGGTCGGATCAGGATTATTTTATCACTTTAACCAAATGAAAAATGAAAAATGAAATGTCTAGGGTCGGATCAGGATTATTTCATCACTTTAACGAAATTAAAAATGATAAATGAAATGTCTAGGGTCGGATCAGGATTATTTCATCACTTTAACTAAATTAAAAATGATAAATGAAATGTCTAGGGTCGGATCAGGATTATTTCATCACTTTAACTAAATGAAAAATGATAAATGAAATGTCTAGGGTCGGATCAGGATTATTTCATCACTTTAACGAAATGAAAAATGATAAATGAAATGTCTAGGTTCGGATCAGGATTAAAGATGAAGGGAATTGTGTTAGCATTACTTCTTGGTATTGCGCAGGTAAAAAAAAAATATTAAAAAAATATCTAAAAAATTAATCAATTATTAAAATGTTTTTTTAAGGGAGATGACACGTTGGTGGTTCTAAATAAAGGCCGGCTGAGAGGAGAACGAGTAGGTAAACCAGGGGTATTTTTAAATCAGAGGGATCGTAGACAAATTTAAGGGAATGTCCGATTAACAACGATATGCTCTTAATAGCTTTGTCTGAACAAAATTCAGATTTCCGTCTTTAACTTATAAATATTCAGATTTCCATCTTTAACTCATAAAAATACAGATTTCCATCTTTAAATTATAAACATTCAGATTTCCATCTTTAACTTATAAAAATTCAGATTTCCATCTTTAACTTATAAAAATACAGATTTCCATCTTTAACTTATAAAAATTCATTATTTTTAATTGTGACTTCTCTAGAATTTTGACTTGCAAATTTCTTCTGCACGCACAATGGGAGGAAATCATCAAAATTAAGCACTTGCAGAGCTAGAAAAACAACACAGTCGACACAGTCTTGAAATTTGATGCAACTTTTCACAACATACTTTATTTATATTATATATAATATAGATTTGGATTTTGGAGAATACTATTACGCTTACAGAGGAGTTCCCTACGCTAAACCACCAGTAAAGGAACTCAGATTCAAGGTAAATATTTTATATATTAAGGATTAACTTCAGATTATTTGGTTGGTTTCTTGAAATTTACTTTATTATGTATCTTCTATCTTCTAATCATAACTAATATAAATCCTATGACCGGTTTGTCACACATTTTGACTATAGCAGAACCACCTCACTGAATTCCTAGATTGATTTGAAAGTAGAATTGTTTGACTTTTGAAGATAAAGATATACTTCAGAAAAAATTGTTAACCAGGACATATGATGGGGTTTAAAATTAATAAATCTTATAAAAAATGATTCGAGAAAATTAGCCATAAGCCATGTTCTGTTTTTTGCAGTGGGGCATACATATTAACTACAGGGTGTCACACATCATATTGAATTGTGTCTGGCTCTAAATTGCGATTTTTGGAGCTAATCAGAAAATTTTAAAAGGATGAATTATTTGTAAATATTATCATGAGGCTCTTGTGAAAATTTGCATGCAAAAAATACAAGTTTTTTAAGTAGTGTGTGCGTAATTTGGCAATAAAGCTTGGAGATAATACAATATGATATGGGATGCTAGCTATAAATGAAACCTCCATATACCTTATTTACGATAAAGTGTTCTGCAGTTTCTGGGAGGTATATAAACAAAACGAAAAAATGACAATTTAATGAATGATTTTTATAAATCGTTTAATTGGATTGTTTTGATTGATATCTAGTCCTAGAGTAAACATTTCACACAATGTGATTACATCTTGAAAATGAAATATCCAGAAATATCCTGAAATATATAGAATACAAAATACAATTAATTAATAGATGGAAAATCTCGTTTTAAAGTTTGTTGACATTAAGATGACATTAAGCGCAATTAAACTTGATTAACAGGGTGTACCAAAAAATGTTTTAAATTTAGGGTTATCAAAATAATTTAAAAATTGTTCTGAACATAAAAGAAAAGGTAATGCTAAATACTTATTGAAAAAATATTTTTGTTAAAAGATATTTTTCAGACACCCTGTTTAAGACATATAGGTCAAGATATATCTGCCAGCCCTAGCTTCCGGGTAATATTGCATCATAACCTGTTCAGACAATAATACGGGTTTAGGGATTAAGCTGTCAGGGTTCTCCTAGAAAAAGAAGACTTCAAAGGGACAATCGTTTAAAAATTCTAAGTGACCTCTATTTAAAACGAAGAACATGACTGATTCACAACATGGACTATTATATCTTTATCTGATCAATAATGTGGAAAATATTGATTGGAAAGTGTTTAATTCTGACAATGTTCTTCAATGTGTCATACAGTGTTAGGTTTTTTTCCGAATGACATTTTCTTAAGGGCGACTTTCCAAGTGACAATTTCCTAAGCGGCAACTTCCCAAATGTGCAATTTCTTAAGCGCAACTTCTCATAGGTTAGGTTAGGCCTTCTAAGGCCCCATAAGGCTGCAATGAGGGCCGAGCGCTGCGGCTATTATGGGCTAGGGGGTTGAGCGCTGCGGCTAGAAAATGTTATTGACCGCCAAACAATACTTTTTCTTCTAAAAATACGTTTATTTAGACTTTACAATTACAATGTTGCAAGCCTTGTTTTCAATTCTTTTTATGCAGCACAGTTTAACTGGTTTATGCAACATAGTTTTACAGGTTTATGCAGCACAGTTTAACTGGTTTATGCAACATAGTTTTACAGGTTTATGCAGCACAGTTTAACTGGTTTATGCAACATAGTTTTACAGGTTTATGCAGCACAGTTTTACTGGTTTATGCAACATAGTTTTACAGGTTTATGCAGCACAGTTTAACTGGTTTATGCAACACAGTTTTACAGGTTTATGCAGCACAGTTTTACTGGTTTATGCAACATAGTTTTACAGGTTTATGCAGCACAGTTTAACTGGTTTATGCAACATAGTTTTACAGGTTTATGCAGCACAGTTTAACTGGTTTATGCAACATAGTTTTACAGGTTTTAGCGATATCTGTGTATAACCCCCCACATTTCACAGTGATCCAGAGGTTGCAAGATCTCATTCAAAATTTTTTTGAGAGTTCCGCATCCCCAGTCAGAACAACTAAAACTAAAAACAAAACTGTTTCCTAGTTTTAAAGTGAAAGTGAGGGAGGTCAAATCAAAGAACTGCAAGACAAAGGTAGATAAAGGTAAATAAAGGTAGATTCCACCCCCCTGCCCCACCCTCTCTCCTTTAAAGTATCTTGATATATGCAGTATGCAGTATGCAGTATGAGCTGTATATGCCTGAATTTATGCAACTGAAAGCAGGGCACAGCTGGACACCTAATTCCGCCCTCGCACGTTCAAATCTCCTGTTGTTAAATTTGGGACTGTTGAAGTAATTTCAAATGACTCTTCATTTTTAGGGTGGCATGCCGATTCACTAAGGTACTCGTTAAACCTTAATATATACCTTATTTATTCTTGATTACACTAAGCTATGGTAAATCGGATTTTTTTCTGCATTGCAGTACAAATATTGTAATTCAGCTCCTTAATAATTGAACCCTATGCAAAATAAATTGCACGTATAATGTTGGGGTAACAATATGTAGTCAGTACAAACTACAGGGCGTTTCATAATATATTTACAGGGTGTACTATATATTCCAGCTACAGGGTGTCCAAAGATAACTGGTAAAATATTTCAAGTTGCCAACAATTAATATATAGGCTTGGAGATTCAAATATAGGATAAAGTATTTTTAAAGGACCACGTAAGGAATGCATTAACTTGTTATTAATAAAAACGCATTCTTTAAGTTATATAAAAAAATAGAATTTTTTTTGCAATTTGCAATCAAACTATTTATTACAAAAGTGTCCTTTTTTGAGATAACAAGTAATTATATTGAAACCTCTTATCAGGATATGTTCTAAAATATACCGTAAATAATTGTAATCTTTTCTATATTTATTCAGACACTTTAATGCACAGAATAAATATTGCTTTGAATTTAAAGCATTCTGGGACCATAAAAACTTAATTTCATAATTATTAAAAATGCAGTTTTGCAGGCGGCTTAACCCCCCCCCCCTCTTCTTAAATTGATCCAGATGCAGAAATGTGCACGAGCGCAGTGTGCAGTTCAACATAATTCTGTGCGTGCACAAATCTACGCACGTTGTAATTCACGTGTGCTTGTATATTCGCAAAGTTTCCGTCTTCATAGATTAATAACTATCAATTCAATAGTCATACAGATTTAACAACCCTAACTAACTTTAACTATCAATTCAATAGTCATACAGATTTAACAACCCTAACTGACAGACTTATTAGTTTTAAAAAGATATAAAAACTAAAAAAATGATATTCTAGGACCCTGTTGAGTTTGACTACTGGGGTATTATTGATGCTGTTGAGGACGGTCATATTTGTCCTCAGTTTGATATAGGACAAGGACAACCAGTCGGAGATGAAAACTGTCTCACGTAAGTCATTTTTTTTGTTATTTGTTAATAAGAGGACATTTAAAAGTTTTAATCTTTTCTGTATCAATTCTCTTAACCCTTCTTGATGCTTCACACAACGAAGGCTACAGATTTTCTAAAATCTTTATCATTGCAATCCAATATCGTTGACATTAGATATTTTAAACTATGAATTCTGTCAGATCAAATAATCTAAGTTTGAAGTATTTAAGGTTGACACCATTTGTTAGCAAAAAAATGGGGATTAGAACATTTGGGTTTGGGTTGTGGCAAAGGCTAAATATCTCTATGGAACAGAAAACAAATTATTGAATTTTTCCCATAAAATTGTGGTTAAAGAAAGGTTTTTCTTTTTGTTTATAAAACTTTTTATAAACAAAACAATCAAAGATGATTCCAGGTCGTCATTAAGGTTATATTTTTCGTGGAAAACCCTGAACATTTCAATCCAGTTTTAAAATTGTTCTATCGAATATTCCTCGTCAACAACAACGTGTTTTGATATTTGTTTACATATTCAAATACCTCTCAGGTTTACAGATTTGGAGATCTCGGTAAATCGGACATTTAGATAACCCATACTGTATAAAGCGTCTATCGATGTATATTCAAGTGAAATAAATTCATACCTAATACCTACCTTGTTAGATTAAAGGAACAGTTAGCGTAATTATAAGTGACCTTCCATTTACAGAGGAAACTCAATTAAAAACGTTGCTGTATAAAATAAAAGGAAAAGCCTGTTATCCTTGGTAAGCCGAAGGACTAACTGGGTACCGTTGTAAATCCGGAATTTCCCTTTTTAAATGGAAGGACTCTTGAAATTTCGCTTACAGTCCCTTTAATTAACCAACTAGTATAAGAGATCAAAGAATAGTGTTTTTCAATCTGTACGACAAATAAAGGAGGAAAACCTCTGTATTAAGATTATATTGAATTAAAATAGAATTAAAGGGAAACATGATTTACTTAAAGGTGGTTTTAGGACTTGATCTGGGAAGATTTGAAGTCTCTAAGGTCTACGACATTTGGTTGCAAAGATATAAAAATAAGACCTGCAATGGAAAATACATACAATTTAATACAAAGATTTTCTTTCTGCTGTCTCATCTAGCATATGCTAGAATATCTTTGGACTAATTTAATTTTGCATTTATCTTTGAAAACTTGTTTTTATTATACAGCGAGATGCACAAAACTTTGAAAAATCAATTGTTCAGCGTTTTTTGAAGTTGTTAAAAAGCAAATAATTTTACTACACTAACTATAAATTTTACAATACTTACTTCTGAATAATATTAAATTTTATTATGAAAAAGGAAAAAAGGAATTTATAATAAAAATAAAAAAAATTGAATGAAATTCGTGCAGTCGTCTTTGCAGTCTCAATCTGTATGTTCACCCCTTTATATGTGAGATGATTTATATTTCCTGGAATCATGATTCTTTTATTTACAATCATGCAAATTAATAGGTATGAAAATTTTTTGCAGTTAACTCTGAATATCTAAATATGATTAGTATTGATAGGTGCTGAATATCTAAATATGATTAGTATTGAAAGGTGTTGAATATCTAAATATGATTAGTATTGAAAGGTGCTGAATATATAAATATGATTAGTATTAAAAGGTGCTGAATAGCTGTAAAATATTAAATTATATCTTAGTACAACAAGAAAGGAACCCGTTAATCCTAAGTCATAGTTAGAAGTCATTCTTCTACGACTTTTAAGGTTTTTGGACTATAATAAGGCACCAAAAAATACTATATTTCTTAAAGATAAGATAAAAAATTTCAAAATTGTATTTCTTAAACTGCTTCCGTTAAAAACTAACCAAAAATTTGACATAGTGTAAAGAGTAAGGAAAACAACAATTTGGAAATAATTTTTTTCAGATTTTTACAGAACCTCTTAAAAGTCAAAAATCTTTAATATTTAAAAAAAACGGACCCATTGCCCATCAGTGACTGGTTACAGTTACATTACAATACATGCCAGAAATTAATTAAATTCCTAATTCAAGAAAGAAATGCAAACCTGAATTAAAATTATGTTAGTTGGCGTCAATTCCGTCTAGATTTAAAATGATAACAAAGATTTAATTTGAATACAAAGTTTTAGATTTAAAATAATAAGATGTATACAGGGTCACCTTCAAGGAATGAGATGTATACAGGGTCACCCACAAGGAATAAGATGTATACAGGGTCACCCACAAGGAATAAGATGTATACAGGGTCACCCACAAGGAATGAGACTTGAAAGAGACAACTGTGCGGAATTTATATTGACTGTTTTCTTATAGAGTCATGATTTCCTGCAACATTAAATAAACCAGTAAAACACTATACTCAAGGAAAAATACTTTCTAATCTAATTTCTAATCTAACAATGCATTGGGATCGTAATATTTTTTAAGAGTTTCAGTTCTTATTTACACTTTATAGTCTCATCCTTTGTGAATACTCTGTATTTCCTAAGTGGTGAAACAAGTTTTAATTAAGATATCTGAATATGTTTTCAATTGATTAAAAAATTTACTGTATTATATACTGTACTGCACAATACCGTACTATTTTGGACTTTGCTTTTCTTCACTGTACTGTACTGTACTGTGCTGTACTGTACTGTACTGTACTGTGCTGTACTGTACTGTACTGTGCTGTACTGTACTGTAATTTAATGCTCTGTACTGTACTTTAATGTACTGAACTGTGCTGTACTGTGCTGAACTGTACTGCACTGTACTGTACTGTACTATTCTGTACTGAAATTTACTGTACTGAACTGTACTGTACTGTACTGTACTGTACTGTACTGTACTGTACTGTACTGAACTGTACTGTACTGTACTGTACTGTATTGTATTGTACTGTACTGTACTATAATGTACTGAACTGTTCTGTACTGTACTGTACTGTAGGTTGAACGTGTACACTCCTAAGCTTGACTCTAAGAAGAGAGCTGTAATGGTTTACTTCCATGGAGGTTCATTTGTTATGGGAGGAGGGTCGAGCTTGTACTTTGGACCTGAAACCCTCATTGAGAAAGATGTCGTCGTTGTTACTTTCAATTACAGGTTTTTATTAATTAATTGATTTTATATAAGTAAAATTATCAAACATTTTGAATTTGAAAGGCATTTCTGTGATATATTTCTTCGCCAGTTCTTTTCTTATTTTTTCGATGAGAATTATTATCATTATTATTATTTTTTCATATTTTCTAGGTTGGGACCAATGGGTTTCTTAACTACAGCTGACAAAGCTGCTTCAGGTCTGAGATATTTTTAGTTTTAAGATTTTAAAAGAAAAGTTTGCCTGTCAAAAAAGTAACGTGTGACAAAATTGCCCTATAGAATTGGCAACAAAGTTGTCTCTTTTTTGTAGTAAAATTCCATGTTTTTGAGATTCATTTTGATTGAAATAAAAATAAAATCCAACCTTCTTTTATTGTTTGTTTTTATTATTAATGATTTAGATTTCACATGGAATTTACAAAGGAATTCATTTCCACAAACGCGAATTTTCTGATTTCTATATCTTTGCAACGAAATGTTACAGAACTTAGATATTTCAAAATATATTAATTCTGTCAAGAATCTAAGATTGAAATATTAAAGGTTTACAGTATGCAAAGATATAGGGATTAGTAAATTGCTGTTAGTGGTGAAAACTCAATTTATTGAAAAATATCAAAGAAATAGATACATAGAAAGTGAAGGGGGGGGGGGGTATAGATTTAGACCCATTGTCCCCTTTTTACATTTTTTTTAATTACTAAGATTATATTTCAGGAAACCAAGGAGTGAAGGATCAAATAATGGCGTTGAAGTGGGTGAAGGATAATATTGACAGGTTTGGAGGGAACCCGGAGAAAATAACATTGTTCGGAGAGGACAGTGGAGCAGCTTCAATCACTATAATGGCAATGTCTCCTCTAGCCCAGGTCTGGAAAATCTTACAAAAAAATTTAGTTTTTTGTGAAAGTGTTGAAATCAATATGGAATTTCTGAATTAATTTCTAGATTACACTAATTTTATGTTCGAAACTATGAACATTATGCTCGAAACTATAAACATTATGTTCAAAACAATTAACATTCTATTCAAAACTATGAACATTATGTTAAAAACTATGAACATTAAGCTCGAAACTATGAACATTATGCTCGAAACTATGAACATTATGCTCGAAATTATGAACATTACGTTCAAAACTATGAACATTATGTTCAAAACTATAAGCATTATGTTCAAAACTATGAATATCATGTTCAAAACTATGAACATTTTGCTCGATACTATTAACTTTATGCTCGAAACTATTAATATTATGCAAAACTATGCAAATTATGCTCGAAACTATGAACGTTATGCTCGAAACTATAAACATTATGTTCAAAACTATGAACAGAATATAATATCTCAGAAATTTGAAGATCAATATGCTCGAAACTATGAACATTATTCTCAAAGCTATTAACATTATGCTCGAAACTATGAACATATGCTCGAAACTCTGAACATTATTTTTAAAACTATATACTATCTCAGAAATTTGCAGATCATTGGTAATTTAAAAAATTTTAAGTATAATAAAATAAAATAGAATTATATTTTTTAGTTTTCAATTAATTTTCTACAGGTTTTAAAATCTCTTGTTAAACAGTTTTAGCCAATTTGTATATATTTTGTTTTCACTTTTAGTGAACTTTCTTGAAAATCTGAACTTTTTAAAACAATTATCTTATGAAGGTTGGCATGTATGCAATATGATTGTTAATATGCATGTTAAGCTTCCCATAAATTTTAATTCATACTTGAATTAAGTACATTTCTACACGTTAAAAATGCATGGCTTTAAGTTTTTATACCTCAGAATTAACGTTTTAATGTGATTTTGGTATTTCCTTAAAAGTTAAATATTTTCAGTTATATGTGAAAAACAGAAATTAAACTTTCCGTATTGTATAAAGCTGATGACTGTTATTGATCAGGGTTTGTTTTCTGGAGCAATAGCTATGTCTGGTAATGCCCTCTGTGATCAATTTATTCAATCAAACCCCGAGGAAGCAGCTCTAGAACTGGCTTCAAGGTAAGCCTGAAATATCAGTGATATCCATCAAGGATGAGACATTTTTTCTCATTTTCTTTGTTATCTTACCAATCCATTTACCTCATTTTTCAGGTTATTATTTAAGTCTCATTGTTTGCAGGTCTGTAATTGTTGTTTTCTGTAATAGTTCTTTTTCTAAAATTCAAAATGTTCTTTAAAAGGAAAAATAAATAAATATAATAAATAGTAACAAATAATAGTCATAATAAAAACACATTGAAAAAGTTAAAGCAAGAAAGTTAAATAAAAAATCAAATATGTGATTTGACTATCAATTAACAATTGTTATAAACTTGATGTAAACATTGTTTCTAGGTTGGAATGTGATACAGAGAGTGGTGAGACTATTCTAAGATGTTTGAACAAGTTGACCCAACAGGAGATTATCAAAATAAGCCAGGATATGTTTGTAAGTTTTATTTTAAGCTTCGTGGGCTCTAAACAGAAACCAACTTTATCAAAAAAAATAAATTTTGAAATGCCAATATATATCTTTTCTTTGATTTCCAAAATAAAATTTTATTGATTAAAATAAGAAATAATCTTTTTAAAACTAATTTCATTGAAATAACTGATTAATTGCCAAAAAATATATTTTTCTAATCTCTAGATCTTTGATGATAGTTAAAGATTAAAATATTAAAAATAAATTATAGAAAACTAATCAAAGAATATGTTTTTTCTAGATGTTTTGGTCATTCCCCCGTTGGTTTGCCCCTAGCGTGGATGGTGTTGTACTACCAGATAAACCAGAAAATCTCCTTGCCAGTGGAAAGTTCGCAAAGGTTACTTTTTAATATTTTCTTTTTTGATCTTTTGCAGTGTAATTTAACTTTTCTGTCTATAAATTAAATTTAGATTTTATATTCAATTCCTTGAAGTAAATTCAGCATAATTTCTCAAATTGTATGGAAGGTGCATGTTTGAGTTTCTTTTTAAACATATTATTATAGTGCCAAAAGCAAAATGCAAAAGTGAATTTTCATAACTTTTAGTTATCTTTCCGAGTCCAACCCATTAAAAGATTTATTAATCGTTTTAGGTGTCTTCAAATCTTATTTAGCTTTTAACTTATGTCGTCTTTGTTTAGGTTCCAATTATGGCTTGACAACTATCGTCTTTGTTTAGGTTCCAATCATGGTTTGACAAATATCGTCTTTGTTTAGGTTCCAATCATGGTTTGACAAATATCGTCTTTGTTTAGGTTTCATTTATGGTTGGACAAATATAGGCCTTGTTTAGGTTCCATTTATGGTTGGACAAATATCGTCTTTGTTTAGGTTCCTTTTATGGTTTGACAAATATCGTCTATATTTAGGTTCCGTTTATGGTTGGACAAATATCGTCTTTGTTTAGGTTCCAATCATGGTTGGACAAATCTTGTCTTTGTTTAGGTTCCATTTATGGTTTGACAACTATCGTCTTTGTTTAGGTTCCATGTATGTTTGGACAAATATCGTCTTTGTTTAGATTCCATTTATGGTTGGACAAATATCGTCTTTGTTTAGGTTCCATTTATGGTTGGACAAATATCGTCTTTGTTTAGGTTCCTTTTATGGTTTGACAAATATCGTCTATATTTAGGTTCCGTTTATGGTTGGACAAATATCGTCTTTGTTTAGGTTCCAATCATGGTTGGACAAATCTTGTCTTTGTTTAGGTTCCATTTATGTTTGGACAAATATCGTCTTTGTTTAGATTCCATTTATGGTTGGACAAATATCGTCTTTGTTTAGGTTCCATTTATGGTTTGACAACTATCGTCTTTGTTTAGGTTCCATTTATGTTTGGACAAATATCGTCTTTGTTTAGATTCCATTTATGGTTGGACAAATATCGTCTTTCTTTAGGTTCCATTTATGGTTGGACAAACTAAAGACGAGGGTGCAGCATTCTACAGACTCACTATAAACGCATTCAACAATGGCCGGGTAAAATATTATTAAAAAAATATTATTTTGATTTTTTAAAAATATTTAAATTGGGAATTGTTGTCCTCGTCATGTTTAATAAAATGTTGGTTATAGTTTTTACTGACGACTTTTACTCTGGTTTTAGTATGATGACAACTTTGTTGACAACAAATTGCCCCGAATGCTCCCAGTTTTATCCGACTTCAACTCCAAACTGTATCCAATGACAAGACTGGTAATTTTATTAAAACACACAGTCATAACCAGTATAAAGCTAAAATCGTCTTTGTATGATTTGTTTTTAATTTGGAAATAAAGTAATGATTTCCTTATCTCTGAACATGTTTTTGTTATGAGTTCGAAACTTATGTAAGAATATTGTAAATCTTAAACACTTGATCTTGAAATCAAATGTGGGCATCTCTAAACTTTAAGGATAAATGCTTGATTCCTTAATCTATGCCATCCCTGCAGGATATTACCATCACAAGATGTTTAAGAGGAATTAAATTAAACCGTAGACCTGCATAAGATTCAGTTTAAGATCAATGCTTCAGAGTTACTTTTAAATCCTTGCACTGCAGCGATTCTAATAAAAACACTAAATAACTTTTATTCCCTGTAAACTGCAACTTTGACTGTACAATAACACTGCACTTACATAATATAAAACATCAAAATTCTTATTACTTTTTTATGACAAATTTTTTTTTTTCACGAAAGTTCATAAAAAAACTTTGAGTCCAAAGAATTCAGATTTGCAGAGCGTTTCTACAAAATTACATACCTCTTATTTCTTACCATACACATGCCAATATACCTCAGGTTTACTATTCTTGTTTTAGATCCGTAAGAAGTATTTCACTAATGTTGATATGGAAGTTGAAGAAGAATTCCGTCCTAGATATATAAACTTCCTTACAGATCTACTTTTCTCTAGATGTACAGATAGGTATGTATAAAAAATCATAACATGTACACTGTACTGTTAAATGCACAGATTTTAGGGGATTTACAACATTTTTCAAAAAGAAACTACTGTAGATATCCAAGAGATGTTTACAGAACATTCTTGCGTCGCTCGAACTCTGCTATATTGTATCATCTGACATCTCTGGTTGAAAAATATTTCCTGAGGGAAGAACATTTGTAAAACTGTGACTTCATGTCCTCAAACGGTTCATATCCTCCAGACGGTTTATTTCCCATGGGACGGTTCATATCCCCTTGAACTGTTCATTTCCCCTAGGACAGTTCATTTCCCACTGGACTGTTCTTTTCCCTTAGGACAGTTCATTTCCCCCAGGACGTTTAATTTCCCCCCGGGCGGTTCATTTCCCCTAGAATGGTTCCATTCCCCCAGGACGGTTTGTAGCAAATACCTACTCTATAACAATTTACCCGAGACGTATTTATCCAGGACTACTCGTTACCATTATATCCGCCTTATTCAATAGCTTAAGTTACAAAGTTAACAGGAATTGACGTAATTCAATTCCTACGATCTTATTAACATCACATGATTAAGACCATTGTATTACATATTTATCGCACAGTTAAAGTTTAAGGTACGTATTTAAAGGATTAAAGAGAATAGATACAATGCAGTTAATCTATCTCCATCCATATTCTACAGCGTAATTTAATTATGTTGCATGATTTAAGCTAATTCAATTGAAACGCAGTTTCAATGAATAATGTCATTATGTCTATGCTTAGAACATGAAATCATTTGTAATGTACAACGTACTGCAAGTTTACAGAATATCATGTTTACACGCTTTTTGCTACTGCAGGTTCATATCCTCCGGGACGGTTCATTTCCCCCAGGACGGTTCATTTCCCCCGGGAAGGTTTATTTCCCCCGGGAAGGTTCATTTCCCCCAGGAAGGTTCATTTCCCCCGGGACGGTTCATTTCTCCCGGGACGATTCATTTTCCCTGGGACGGTTCATAATCCCCGGGAAGGTTCATTTCCCCCGGGAAGGTTCATTTTCCCCGGGACGGTTCATTTTCCCTGGGACGGTTCATAATCCCCGGGAAGGTTCATTTCCCCCGGGAACATTTTCCCCGGGACGGTTCATTTCCCCCGGGAAGGTTCATTTCCCCCGGGAAGGTTCATTTCCCCCGGGACGGTTCATAATCCCTGGGACGGTTCTTTCCCCTAGTACAGTTCATATCCACTGGGACGGTTAATCTCCCTAGGGACAGTTCATATTCCCAGGGACAGTTAATTTCCCTTGGGACAGTCCATATTTCCTGCAGGACAGTTAATTTTCCTCGGGACAGTTCATATTCCCTGGGACAGATCATTTCCCCCGGACGGTTCATTTCCCCAGGACTGTTCACATCTTCTGTTGATAAAGCAATAGTTCCTAGTTCTTCTATCAACTCTGCTATATTAATCTTCTGCAAATAAAACAATATATCTTGTTAACTTTTGAAATATTTCATTCTCTGTGGTTAAGACAGTATATCCTGTTTCTACTGGTAACTCTTGAAATATTTTATCCTCTGTGATTAAAACAATATTCCGAGTTCTGATTAATTAGCATTTTAGATGACTCATTCATTCCATACAATGTAATAATGTCAGGGCATAGGTGGGTTGGGAGGAGGGAGAAGGGGGGAGTGGAAAAAGAGGGGGGGGTCAGGAATGTTGAGCTTATAAACTATTGGGTGTGGTTGGTCACTTCTGATAATCATTTTAATTAACATATTAATAAATAAAGTAACAAATATCTTTAGAAATAATAAATAAAGAAAAGTGTTGATCTAAGGAGGTACACTTCTTGGTTGCACCTTTTAATCTCATGATCTAGTGGAATAAACAACATCAAAGCAATCATATGTGTATTTGATATTGTTTAAAAGCAAAAGCTTGACAATTAACTTGAAAGTTTACTACACAGTACTTGCAATTGCGTTGTTACATGTTCATTGGACCACATTTATTAAATTATTACTTCAGTTTAATGGTTGTCTTTCTATTCCAAGGTCTCCCTGTGTAGATTTTTTTTATCATTATGAATAATTTCTATTTATAGGTTTACCAGTATTCTGACAAAGTACTCTGTTCCTGCATACGAGTACAGTTTTGATTACAGAGGACAGTACAGTGTAGTAAATCTACAGGGTGAACAGGTAAAAATCACAATTAGTGTTAAAAAATGTGGAAGTTAAATTTTGTGTCCAATTGTGTAGTACAAATTAATAGAGTATATTTACAAAGCTTATTAAAGAAATATATCAAATATTACAGCATGTGTTGTACATCTTTGAGATTTCAATGTAATCTAGAAAAATTTTACAAAAATAAAAAGTTTTAAAAAATGTCATTACTAAAAATAAAAAGATTAGATTAAAACTTTTTTGGATAAAATAAGCTCAAAGCGGTAATCGAAAAGGTGAAATCATGACATTTTTTGGTATATTTATGTTGGAAATAATTGGTAGAGATTGTATATAATACATAAAAAAGTTTACCAAAATTTAAATCAATGGTTTAAAAGGTTAGATTATGAGTCTAAAAACTAAATGATAAAAATAAAAGACGACTTTTAAACAGATTTATTTTAAACATGCCAACACTAATTGACAGTTTTCGTGACTTTTATCAATCAATCATGTATTATAGATTATATTTATTTACTCCAAGGTTGACATGGGCGTGGCTCACGGAGACGACGTCCAGTATGTTTTCCAGCATATTTGGGGACAAGATCTAGAAATGTCGTCTTCTGATTCTAAATTCTCTAAGAATGTTTATACAACTCTTCTAACTAACTTTGCCAAGACTAGGTAAGTCATTTATATAAATTATAAAACTAGCGGAAAATTCTAAATCGTCACATAGATCGATCAAAATGAAGCTAAATGTCCAATTTTAAATAAGCCCGTAAGAACTACACATTTTGGAAATTATCAAAAGTCATTATTGAACTTTTATTTAACCAACTCTGTACATTTATTAGCGTATCAAACCCAGTTTTTATACGTCATGTTTAATGTTTATTGGGATCTAACTAACCCTAGCAATGAGACAATATAATCATTTCAAACCTAGCGCCCTTTAATTTTATATCACTCTTAGCTTTTTAGATGCTGATTTATTTAGGCTTTTCTTTTTAGAAAAATATTTAACAATGAAATATTTCGCAGATTTTTCTTTTATAATAAATTTTCGAAATATTCTCAATGGCGCCAAAAAAAACCTGCCCTGGGATCAGATGTGAAATAATTAAAAATGTTGGCACAACAGAAAATCAGTAGACAAGCCAAATAAATAGATTTTGGAAAAATTTAAAGTTTAATTGCAAATATTGTTTAGTGTCCCGACCCCAACTATTGATGAGTTTATCTCTGTCTCCTGGCCCCCTGTCTCTCCTACTCTACACAACGTAATGAGGATCAATAATAAACTTAAGCTGGAAACTGACTTCAACAAGGAGAGGCGCAGGTTTGGTTTTTTTTTATTTTTTATTTGCAGCTTTTAATTGGAACATCTTAGAAATTCTCAAAATCCATAATCAATTTAGTGTATGCCATCAACTGTTCGTAAAAAAACAGGTCTCTTTATATTCATCTTAGTTTTTCATTTTTTGGACTTTGAATGTTTCAATTTACAATAAATCTATTTATTAAATTAAAGATTAAGTGACTGCTGTATAATTTTAAATTAAGTCCATGATTCCTTAATCATTTAATCTTTTAAGTTTTCTAAAGTACTGTTCTCCCTAGGTTCTGGTCTGAAACTATTCCAGACCTCTTCAAGGCTTCTGGGAAGAAGGCGAAGAGTGAATTGTAATCGTTCAACAACTTCATCTTGATTAACATGGTTATATTTAGTTCTTCATATATGTTGTTGTGGGCCATGTTACAGGTCCTATAAAACATGGCACAATTAACACGATTGAAAGATCAACTTCAATCCAAGGATATCTCGAGATAAATTGCGACACAATAATGTGAATTTTTTTCGAAAATAATAAAGAAATTTCACTTAAAACTTGCTTTTGGGGGGACGGATATGGATGCTGCAAACTATTTCAAAGATATAAGACGACCCTTAAGTGGTCTCACAACTTTAGAGTTGCAAGAAAAAATATATTTGTTTCCGGTGCAGGTGGGAGCTAAAAAAACTTCTCATAATTTGCTTCTGTCGTCTTTCCTCACACTTTTACTATACTGTATGATTTTCATAAAACTTTAAACCTTTTATAACAAAATAAAAATCGTTTGTTTAATAACCATAAATTTTTGTATTGTGTATGTGAAAAAAAATTTAATAAATTCAATAAAATTAACAATTTATTGAGAAACATTCATGATTACAGTCAGGTTACTTGATTTAGATTTTTTAATAGAAATTTGTTCTTGCTCCGTTTGTCCAGGATGGGGCCATGTAAATTATGTGGCCCGGGATGGGGCCATGTCAACTAAGTGGTCCAGGTTGGGTGATGTTCATTAAGTGGACCTGGTCCTGGATATATGTATCTGTAGGGACCATAACCGTGTCCTGAATGCTCTCTGAGGTTGTATTGATCTTCATGTATATTTGCTGGTTCATATTCTTCCAGATTTTCAATATTTTCTGGTCCATATTTACTTATTTGGCCGCGGCCTAAACCAATTGGACTTCGCATCATGTTAAATGGCCCAAAATGTCTCCTTGGTTCCGATTTGTATAGAAATGGATAGTATGGACCATTTCCATATCCTTCTCCGTAACCTAGTTGTTCTTGATCGTGCTGGTGTATGCGATGTCCAGAATATAGACCACTGTCTGATTCATCTTGAGAAAAAGGTCTATCATGATTAATAGGTCTGTAATCATGTTCCTCTGTATGTCCATATCCATATTCAGTAGTTGGTCTTCTGTGTTGAATATTAGGTGGTAAACCGGAATATTTTGGTTTCACTCTCAAATCATAAACTTTAGATGATGGTTGTCCATATCTTGCCGGGACATAATCAGACTGTACTGGGCCTAATCCGAAATAATACGCAGGCATCCAATTGTAAGGATTCTGAATTTGATAAGTCTTGGGCTTAGCAGTATGTTTGTCTTTGGTAGGAGGATCTGTAGTTGTTTTTTCTTTATTGTTTACTTTCCTTGAATATTGCGACTGCGTAAAATATGTCCAGGTGTCCAAGGGAGCATTGGGGGGAAGAGCCCAAATAATTGATGCTTCGGTTGGATAAGAAGATGTTGTTTCTTGTGAGGTTAAAGTAGTTGAAGATTCTGTTGTTGATCTTGGTATTGAAGTAGTTGGAGTTGATCTTCTTGAAGTTGTGGTTGTCGATGATGTAGTTGATCTTGGTATTGAAGTGGTTGGAGTTGATCTTCTTAAAGTTGTGGTTGTTGATGATGTGGTTGATGTTAATTTTGTTTCTGGGCAACTTTCAATTGTTATGCTTTACCCAACCTAAATTTAACTACATTTGTTTGATGTTAATGCCATCTAATGAAAGGTTTTTGGTCTCAAATTTAAAAAGATAAACATTTTAGTAGGGTTGGGCTAGGTCTAAACACTGGCTTTGTACCGTTAACAGAACGTTGCCCAAGTCTAGTAAGAATTATTTTCAAATAAGCTTAATTTTTGGGAAAGTTTAAACATGTTAAGTGATTTTAACAGATCTGAGATAATATCAATAATATTATTAATAATTATGCAAAAATGAATATTACCTGGTATATTTTAAATATTTTCATTTTAGCCATAATATGTTTACTCATTGTCAAGGTTGACCTTCTACTGCCATAGGATTTGACCGACAGGCCTTTCTGTATTCTACACTGTAGAAACTACGCAATTTATAGATTTATATATAGTTTCTGAGAAATTGAACCGCACGGCAGTGAAGGTGGGTCATTAATTACGTGTTAGAAGTTTTACTAGAAACAAGAAAAATTTCTATAAGTAAATAAAGTCCCGTACATTATCGAAGGTAATATCACATCAATTGAAACTAAAATTCACCTTAGATTGATGCCTTACTGCTTACATCTGTTTTGAATCATAATTTCTTATCAACCTCCTGAGTTTTTAACTAAACCAAATAGAGAAACTGAGTTTTTAACTAAACCAAATAGAGAAACTGAGTTTTTAACTAAACCAAATAGAGAAACTGAGTTTTTGCCACGAACTCAAATTGTCTAATGCTTATATCTTTGCCACCTGATGGTGCAAACATTTGAAATTTCAAACTTAAATTTTTTGATCTAATACAATTCATAGTTTGAAATATCAAAGGTCAACGATATCGGGTTGCAAAGATATAGGGGTTAATTAATTAGAGTTTGTTGCAAAAACTCATTTCTTTGGCATCAACTTAACCTTCAGCGTTTTTTAATTCAACTATTTTGGTACATGTTGGAAGAAAACAGTATTACAAAAAATAATTGTGAAAGAGTAACGCAAACCGCTCTGAAAAACTATTTGCATTCGTTAGTTTCTGTGTTTGTGTGTGTGAGGTGTGTGTCTGTTTGTTTGAAGAAATCTCCCATAAAAGACTGTGTGAGGAGTTTTGAGTTGTTTGCCAAATTGCCCCTCCAACCTTTTTGTCTGGTGGATCATTACCCATCATTAGACGGACAATCGGACAATTCAACCCCAAACTATTATCCGTGTGTACTCTCAGTACACAATACACAACCCTGATTATAAGAACGCAACTCGGGGGGGGGGGCAACGGTTTGTAGGCCCCCTGATTGATTTCTTAGTAAATTATTTGTTTACATATAGGGATTCAGACAAAGGATGAGACAACCTTAAACTTATAAGATCAGAACGAACTAAAGGCTGAATTTTGTATTCTGAACTTGGGAGTAAAGTGTTAAAAAAGCAAATATTTAAACAGTTCAAAATTTCTAAATATTTTAAAAGTCCACAAACTCTCAAAAATTAACCAAGTTATTTCCCATCACTATTTGCTTGTAGATTTAAAATCATTTTCTTTACGAATTGGAGAAAGAAAAACAAAAGAAAAGACTGATAAATTACATCCGGTCGTATCTGAAGTCTCATCCTTTGTGGGTAACCAAGTATATGTAGTTGCTGCAAGTAAAAAATAAAAACATCATTTTTGACAATCAGGTCAAAAATATTTTTGCCTGTGACGCTTGAGAATGCAAGTTGACATACGATTTCAACAAAAAAATCAATTTCTTTTGTAATTTTTGATAAATTGATACGGCGTACGCTATATATGATTATAAGGTCGCTTATGGATGAATTTTTTGAGTAAATCTTTATTCAAAGAATACATCTATAAATACACATTTTGCAGTCTGTCCAAACTTTTGTGTTGGTATTGTGAATCTCGGGGATCAAACATGAAATCCAACTTATGTGATCTATCTATGCGGATTAATCTAATTACTCTTCGATATCCCGGGGTGGTCAAACCCTGCAGGGATAATTTAAATGGATGGATAAAGCATATATCGTTGAAAGTGTTTACACTCTCAGTTTTGAGTTTTAGACGGTTTAAAAATGCGACTTTTTAATCGTCTATTATGAAGATTTTTTTACTATTAGATGATCGATTGATAAAGATAATTGATGAATCGAGTACTATGTATAGTGTTCACAAAGCCAATATCCCGATTGCCAAGTACAGAAATGCTATTGCGGATCAAGAAGCTGATGATAGTCCTGGATTTAGATGTGCAGAATGCGCAAAATGTGTAATCTTTTAAAGGCAGTGTTCGCGAAAAATGAAAGGGGGTATAGGCTTAATGTGATTAAAAAGCGCTATTGATCGCTACTAATCGTACTTCTATCTGTTGCGTCTATAGGGAGAAAATTGTTAAAAACGACTTATAACGAAGAATGTAGTGTCCATACAAATTCTGAAAGATGCAACATTCAACTCGTATCGTAAACAAATCAATTTAATTCCAAACAAATCATTCAGATATTACAAACAATAGTTATCGATTATTTTTCGACGCATTCGTAAATATTTGATATTTCATAATATTTTGTATTTTTCATGATCTGAGAGTTACTTTTAAAAACATTTATTCCTGTTTCGAGGATTTGTGATAATGAAGACGACATTTTCATATTTTCCAGGAATGTTCGAAAATCCAGCGCCAGCGAAAATTATTTAAAAAAACAAAATCAAAAATATTATGAAATATTAACTATATACGAGTGCGTCGAAATCAACTTTAGCAGACCATGACGAGTTTCGATAACTCTAGGATATTTTTGAGCGAGTAGATTAGCTCGCGAAACACCATAAGCTATCAATGTCAATCCGGACACTATCTCTAAATAATGAATTTTAATCTGTAAAGTGTATACGATCTCTAAACCATAAACTATCAGTGTCAATATGGACACGATTTATCTAAACAATGCCCAATCTATGTCTATCTTCAAAAAGTGATTTTGGGCGCTTTTGCGTCGTTATACACATACACATATTTAAGCTAATCACAATACAGGTTCGACGTAGTTATTTACAGACGTAGCTATAGGTTAGGTTAACCGCAATACAAGATTTGCGTAGTTTAATGATTTATAGACAATGTGCAACGTAATTGATCTCTGTGTAACTATGGGATCTGCCACGGTATTTATTACATGTACACTCAGTACAGTGAATAAGTAAACTGATGTTAATAAGTACAGCACAGTATTGCCAGGAAGTCGCCCATGCAAGAACTAATTTAGCTCAATGTTTATCTCTAACACATCAATTTGGTTGGATAAACAGGCTTTTGTTACTCTTAAAATTTTATATTTTGAATTACGCAAAACTAAACTATAAGTTGTAAAGTATCTTTCTTGGTTCTTTTTTACAATAATATCACAACATATCAGTTATAACATGCAACATCAAGCCTGTTATAATCATATCTTTTAATTAAAGGAAAGGTTAGCAGTTTTGAAAGTGATTAAACTAAAATTTTATCATATTCAAATTCTGCGAACACTCCTTTTAAATCAAAACCGTTTTATAGACCTAAAAATTTAATTTAGTAATATCATAATATTTGATTATAAAAATGTCTCTTTTTATCCATCAAGGCCAGGAACGGAAAACATGGGAAATGATAAATGTAAAGTAAAAATAGATATAATTTTTATAAGCTATTTTTGATTTGAAATAATTGGGCCTGTATAGGCAAGTCTCCGAGTTTTGGCATTGCTTTTGATGATGAATTAAAATTAAAAGATATCTCTAATTGGCGTTCTAATTGCCATACTATTTTGTCACTTTACAAAAATGTATCAAAAACAATAACTGTGCAATGATTTTACAGTAAACGAATTAAAAAATATAATAAACATTATTTTTATAAGTGATAAATAAGTTAACCCATACATCAATAATAATAAATGAAACTGCTGCTGTAAGCGTAAATTCAAAGATGACAATGCCCGATACACAATATGGTAACCTTAAAAACTTTGTCTGATCAAGTATTAATTAGATATCAATCTTTGAATTATCATAACTTAACGAAAATATCTTCCACATTATTGATCAGATAAAGGTTTCAAGGGTACGGTTGGGAATCGGGCATTGACATCTCTATTCTCTGTTTGAAGGGTCAGTTGAAATTACACTTACATTACCTTTAAGTATAATAAAGAGTAAAGAAGGCGATCATGACACTGTTTTTAGTTACCTAGTTTGATTGTAAGCAATAAAAAATATTGTTAAAAAATTTGTATTCCCTGGGACGGCAGGGAGCTCCATTTCTTGTTATTTGTTTACAATAAAACTCTAGCTCCATGCTGTCCTATTACGTCACAGTAGGCATAAGATGGAAATAACCCGTAAAACTCCTTAGATTTGATTGACATGATCCACAAGAATAAATAATCTTTAAAAATATTACGTTTTGCCAGAGTTGGGAATGTATAATGGATATCGAGATCAATGATTGATCTTGATCTACAAATTAATTTATTATTTAAAAGCCTGTGAAGAATGTCGTCTTTGGAAAACTAACAGCCTATCAGAAGCCAGGGAATTTTGCATTCAACCAATGACAGAACAGAACAATTTAGAATATCCAAAATCAAGAGATCAAGCAGATTCTATTTGAAATTTAAAAGTGACCATTGTGGATATCAAGATCAAGCATTCGGAATTAAAGTTCTCAGCTCAGTTTCACTTTTCGTGCAGATTTTTGACGTTTACTCTGCACTCTGGTTTAATGGCTATAACTTGACATGTTCGAAACCAAAGTTATCTATTCCAGCATCTAGCACTGCATCACCTCCAACTCTTCCTACTCCATCCTCTTCATCTACATCATCACTCTTCAAGTAGACATCCAGCACCTACAATTTAGATTATGAAAGGGACTGTACACGTTATTTGAAGTGGTTTTCCATTTTATAAAGAGTGACAGTTCTGACTCAAAACAGTGCATTTAAACCTTTTTCTGGGCAAAAATGATGGAGCTTTTTTTCTAAAAAGTGACATGCTTATTTTTGCTGCAGAATGAAGGAGTTTAACAGAATTCAACAATTTTTTTAAATAGAAAAACGTCTATATTTTCCTCATTGTGACTCATATAAAGGTTTCTTAAGCCATCTTTATCTACTTAGAGATTATTACATCTCATAGGGACAAATTGAATATTTGCCATAAACTCAAATTGTGTCACCGTTATCTTTACAACCTCTCAAATTTCAAACTTAGATTGATTTATCTAACAGATTTTATATTTTGAAATATCTAAGGTCTACGAAGTTGGGTTGCAAAGATATGTGGAGTAGAAAAGCAAAGTTTGTAACAAAGACTCAATTTCTTTCTACACATTAGAACGGTTAAAAAATAATATCAAAATAAGTTTTTAATTACTTGGTTAAAAAATACTAAAACGAATGTCGCGGAGGTTGAAGATGGCTAACCTGGTATAAGAGTTTGTACTGTTCAAATGCCTGAACTAGTTTAGGTCTTAGACTCCTTAGTTGGAACACAGTTTTCATAACATCAATCTCAGCTTTATGCTGGGCTTGGTAGATTAGGGAGGTTAGTGCTATATAGGTTCCTAAAATATTGGTAGATTAGGAAGGTTAATGTGCTATATAGGTTCCTAAAATATTGGTAGATTAGGAAGGTTAATGCTATATAGGTTTCTAAAATATTGGTAGATTAGGAAGGTTAATGCTATATAGGTTCCTAAAATATTGGTAGATTAGGAAGGTTAATGCTATATAGGTTTCTAAAATATTAAAAGATTAGGAAGGTTAATGTTATATATGTAGGTTCCTAAAGTATTGGTGGATTAGGAAGGTTAGTGTTATATAGGTTCCTAAAATATTGGTGAATTAGGAAGGTTAATGTTATATAGGTTCCTAAAATATTGGTACATTAGGAAGGTTAGTGCTATATAGGTTCCTAATATATTGGTAATTAGGAAGATTAATGTTATATGGGTTCCTAAAATATTGGTAGATTAGGAAGGTTAATGCTATATAGGTTCCTAAAATATTGGTAGATTAGGAAGGTTAATAAAATATTGTTAGATTAGGAAGGTTAATGCTATATAGGTTCCTAAAATATTGGTAGATTAGGAAGGTTAATGCTATATAGGTTTCTAAAATATTGTTAGATTAGGAAGGTTAATGCTATATAGGTTCCTAAAATATTGGTAGATTAGGAAGGTTAATGCTATATAGGTTCCTAAAATATTGGTAGATTAGGAAGGTTAGTGCTATATAGGTTTCTAAAATATTGGTAGATTAGGAAGGTTAATGCTATATAGGTTCCTAAAATATTGGTAGATTAGGAAGGTTAATGCTATATAGGTTCCTAAAATATTGGTAGATTAGGAAGGTTAATGCTATATAGGTTTCTAAAATATTGGTAGATTAGGAAGGTTAATGCTATATAGGTTCCTAAAATATTGGTAGATTAGGAAGGTTAATGCTATATAGGTTCCTAAAACACTAAGCTAGGATTTTATTCCCAATTTTGCGTTTTAAAAATTGTTATTAACTTCTCTTAATCCCAACTAACTCAACCAAAAATGAAAAATTATTTTTTGATTTGTTTGCAGTTTGTTTTAGAATCCAATCTTGAATTATTGTCAGAAAACATTTCTGATATTTAGTTTAGGCTTAAAAATATATTTTAATTAATTTGTTGATTAAAAACTAAACCTGTTCTACCCACTCCCGCACTACAGTGTATCACAGTGAACCCTTCTCCACCAAAACTATCTGCTATTCGCAAAAATCCTAAAGAAAAAAAATTATGAATTTTTTTTTTAATATTTCAAAAATTAACATGCTAAATAAATATCTATATGACTAACTTCTATCTAACTAACCAAAAATGTGATTTTCTAACTAAAAAGTTAACGGATAAAAAAAAATTTTAAACGTTAATATTTTTGCCAAAACATTAAATTTACACATTTAAAAAATATATATTCAAAACCAAATACCAAATTCAGTTTAATCTTTTGTGGGTGACCCTGTATTTGATGCTGATTTAAAAGTAAAATGGGTCTGTGTACATTGCACTCTTGCTTTTTTTTCTGTCCGTAGAACTATTTAAGACATGAGTCCGGAGTGTAACAGTCGTCTTTTTCTTCTAAAAATGTATGGGTTCCCACTGTATCAAACGCATAACTAAGAAACTAGGCTATAAAAGTATGAGAAATAAATTTACCTAAAAGATTATTAATATTATTTGGAACACCATGGTCTGGCCAACTGGTTAGATGTAGCTGCTTTACAATATGGTTATCACATTCTGGTTCATCTCCCAGCTGTACCTGTACATTGTACATTATATACTTTATGTACAATATGGTTATCACATTCTAGTTCATCTCCCAGCTGTACCTGTACAATACATATATACTTTATGTACAATATAGTAATCACATTTTGGATCATCTCTCAACTGAACCTGTACATTGTACATTATATACTTTATGTACAATATGGTTATCACATTTTGGTCTATCCCCCAGCTGTACCTGTACAATAAATATGTCCTTCATGTACAATATGGTTTTCACATTCTGGTTCATCTCCCAGCTGTACCTGTACAATACATATATACTTCAAGTACAATATGGATATCACATTCTTGTTCATCTCCCAGCTGTACCTGTACATTTTACATATACACTTTATGCAAACATGGAGTATTTGTATAATGCAAACATAAATAAAGAGGTCGGAATTTTTGTGTGGATTATCGTTAATCTTGAACGCTAGATCTTGATATCCAATGTGGACGTTTTTATATAATATATATACAAAAGTTCTGATTAAACATCTAAACGGTTTAATCGAAAGCTGTTTATGATTGCAAAGTCACTTTTTGTTTGATTAGAGCTGGAAACTCTTCTGTTGTGGATAGCAAGATCAATACTTGCTCTTCTGTTTTTGTTAATCTGCAGATTAATTTAGTCTTTATTCCATATCCAGAAAAGTTTCTAAATTTCGACCAATCAGGGTCTCGCTTACAGAAACCGAACAGCCAATCAAAAGCCTGGAAATTTTGCGGCTACCAATGAAAGAACTCTTATTGGTCGTAACCCAGTGGGGATATCCAAAAAGAGAGGATTGAGCAAAAAAAAAGAGTCCAGACCACCGCGGATATCGAGATTAAGCGATAGGGATTAAGGGTGGTATCCAACACAAAGGTTCCCAGCAGAGTAGAAATTAAATTTAAAAAATTTATGAAAATAATATTTCTGTAAATGTCCAAAAAAGACTAAATTTTTACGGAATAATTACCTCAATAGTTCTAAGGAAAAGTCCAGGTTGGAGTTCAACTTCTTGTTTTGTAAACAAACTGACGTCATCAAAATGAAGCATTTGTCCATTTGGAGGCCAGTACTAAACAATTAGTTGTTTTAATTATTATGTATTTAATGACCCTTCATTGAAGGACATTTCCGATTTTCAACGGTACTCTTGAAACCTTGACCTTATCTATAATATATGGAGGATATCCTGGGATTTTTACTGTTGTGTGCTTTTTTAAATTCTGGTAATTTCTTTATTATTTCAGAAGTAAGAAATACGGAAGTCGCAAATAATATAATCAGTTTTAAAAACATGAATTTCAAATTCATATTTAATCAGACAAATGTTGTTGGGTACCACTGTGAATAGGACAAACCACTCGATCAATGGATTGTCCCTTGCAATTACGTTTACATTCCATTTAAGTTTAAGTTTAGGTAAATTATTTTATATTTCAGAAGAAACGAAAACAAAATCAAATTAAAAGAGTAGGCAAATGTTTTTTTCTCTTTGATAACGAGTTTCTTTCAAATGTTAAAAGTTTGTTAAATGCCAAAATATGTAAATATTTTCGTTAAACTGGGTTCAAAAGACGGGATTTAAACGTATATGGAGTACGATTGCACTTGACCTGTAACTCCTTTTACCTGGTTCGAATCATGCAACGATTGGACTCATGTGAGTTATGTCCAACTATTGTATTTTATAAAAGTAAATCAAAGTATGGTTTATATTAAAAAGCGTCCTCTATAAAATTCGTCTGTACGCTTAACTTCAAGTGAGCCTTCAATCTCCATGCAACTATGGCAGAACCCGATTCACGAAGGTACCTCTTATGGCTTTGTCTGATCAATTATGAATTAGATAATAATGTTTATATATTATGTTTATCTATTTTAATTATTCATCTTATTCAAATATTTATAAATTAAAAAAATGTAACTTTTTCCACTTTTGTTGTTTCACAGAATTTAAGCCAGCAGACAAGTTTATCAGAAAAAGTAATAGCTCTGGAAGTTGAAATTTTTACCAAAAAGAGGATCGAGATTAAATTGTTTTGACAAAAAAGTATTTCAAGATCAGAACATATCTGAGGTTTAATAAAATATAATAAAATTATAATTTAAATCCCCAAGAAAGCTGTTCTATAAAATTGCGTTTTGAGGTGATATCGGCAGATTATTTCCACACAGAGATCATAAAGGGCTTGTCAATGGGATTTGGTAAAAGCCTCCAGATTACAGGTATATTTGTAAAATGAAATTTGTTTTACAAATGGGCAAGATTATCCATCTACAATATCTAAAAATCAATGATTTGCAAACACAAGATATTAACAAAAAAAAATATTATTGCTCAAAACAGTATACTTTTGTAAATCGTTAATTGTACTCTTAAATTACAGATTGTACTCTTAAAATAAAGATTGTACTTATAAATTAAAGATTGTACCCCTAAATTAGATTGCACTCTTAAAATAAAGATTGTACTCCTAAATTAAAGATTATACCCCTAAATTAGATTGCACTCTTAAAATAAAGATTGTACTCCTAAAATAAAGATTGTACTTCTAAATTAGATTGCACTCTTAAAATAAAGATTGTACTCCTAAAATAAAGATTGTACTCCTAAATTAGATTGCACTCTTAAAATAAAGATTGTACTCCTACCTAAATTAGATTGCACTCTTAAAATAAAGATTGTACTCCTAAATTAAAGATTATACTTCTAAATTAGATTGTACTCTAATAATTAATAAAACATCGACTATTACGTTGTTATTCCCTTTAAATTACCGAATTATTGCAAGGGAAAAAATAACAACCCGTTACTAGTAAAACAAGTATTCTGTAATTTTTGTCAAAAGTTGTAAAAAGTTGTTGATCTGACCTGGAAACATTTAACTCTTCCCCCCTCCATACAGTTGGTTAGATTGATAATATGTTGACTTCCCTTCTCTACTATCATCCTAAATAGATGGTTGGTTAGTTAGAAGTTAGTTAGTTAGTTAGCTAGTTAGCTGCTCAGTTAGGTAAGTAGTTAGTTAGTTAGTAAGTTAGTGGGTTAGTTAGTTAGTTAGTTAGCTAGTCAGTTAGTTAGGTAGTTAGTTACTTACTTGGTTAGTTATGTAGTTAGCTAGTTATGTAGTTAGCTAGTTAGTCAGTTAGTTATTTAGTTAGTCAGTTAGTTAGTTAGTTAGCTAGTCAACTAGTCCGTCAGTTAGGTAGTTAGTTAGTTGGTTTGTTAGTTGGTTAGTTAGTTAGTTTGTTAGTTAGTTAGTTAGCTAGTTAGTTAGTTACCTACTTAGTTAGTTAGTTATGTAGTTGACTAGTTAGTTAGTTAGTTATTTAGTTAGTTAGTTAGTCTGCAAGTTAGTTAGTTAGTTAATTTGTTAGTTAGTCAAATATAGTTAATTAGTTAGTTAGTTATTTACCTCCAGAACTCAACAACTGTATTCTGTTTAGGTCCTTGAGTAGCTATCATATCTCTAGATATAACACAGTTAATCCATTTTTGATCAAATAGGATATATATTTGATTATCTAACTCCTGGTATTCCACGGATATATTATTAGATATTATGTCTAATTAAGTGATAAATGATGGGGTTTGAAATGTTTATTGAAATTTTATTACTGAATATATTGGAGCGTTATTAAAGTATGGAGTTAATTGCTGTAGGGGAGCTGCTCGACTGCCAGTATTGAAGAATTCTACACTCGGAGCTGTCTGGAATAGAACTGTTGAAGGCTGCTTCTGTAGGGGAGCTGCTTAACTGCTGGTAAAGATGATTCTAAACCCAGCTAGCTGTCTGAAGTATGACTGTTGAAGGCTGCTTCTGTAGAGAAGCTGCTAAAAGTTTCTTAAAATAGAATCCTGGATCTGGATTGGTTTTCAGCTGTTCAATATAGGCTCTTATTTGGAAGGTGCCTTGGTCCGAAAAATGATGTTTTAATCTAGATTCCACGGATTTACATTTGATTATTTAACTCCTGGTATTCCACAAATATATATTTAATTATCTAACTCCTGGTATTCCACGGATATATATTTAATTATCTAACTCCTGGTATTCCACGGATATATATTTGATTATCTAACTCCTGGTATTCCACGGATATATATTTAATTATCTAACTCCTGGTATTCCACTGATATTTGATTATCTAACTCCTGGTATTCCACGGATATATATTTGATTATCTAACTCCTGGTATTCCACGGATATATATTTGATTATTTAACTCCTGGTATTCCACGGATATATATTTTATTATTTGACTCCTGGTATTCCACGGATATATATTTAATTATCTAACTCCTGGTATTCCACGGATATATATTTAATTATCTAACTCCTGGTATTCCACGGATATATATTTGATTATCTAACTCCTGCTATTCCACGGATATATATTTGATTATCTAATTTCTGCTATTCCACGGGTACATATTTGATTATCTAACTCCTGCTGTTTCACGGATATATATTTGATTATCTATCTCCTGCTATTCCACGGATATATATTTGATTATCTAACTCCTGGTATTCCACGGATATATATTTGATTATCTAATTCCTGGTATTCCAGTGTTTGTATAAAATGCCTTCTTTTTGAGCAAAAATTTTATGTTTTTTTAAAAAGAAAATGGTATTGAAGGTTTTAAAAGCTAGTTTTTGTACATTTTCTTTACACTTTTCAGATTATTAAATGCCTTTTTTTCGAAATCAGAAAATGTAAGTACTTACAAACTAGAGGTTTTTGCAGTAGTGAGATTGAAATTCCAAAATGAGAAAATATAATTTCAACTTTTATTTTCAAACTCTGGTATTGGCGGTAGTGAGATTTCAAATTCAAAATTGAGAATATAAAATTTCAACTTTTATTTTCAAACTCTGGTATTGGCGGTAGTGAGATTTCAAAATCCAAAATATATATATATTTGATTACCTACTCCTGGTATTCCACGGATATATATTTGATTACCTAACTCCTGGTATTCCACGGATATATATTTTATTACCTTACTCCTGGTATTCCACGGATATATGAGGCATTTATGTAATCAGACGGGGGGTTTCCTTCTTCACAGTCTAAATAATATTATATAGAATTAGTGAAAGAGACTCTAGAGGTAATTTTAATCGACATTATACGAATGAGATCACAAAGTCAAAAAGGTAATTTTGTATAAATTTGACAATCACCTTATATCTTGAATTGACTGGAGTAATATTAACATATTTATATATTCACCCACGAAACATGACAGTTAGTAAATAATTTGGAATGTCTTCTTCCCTGTACTGTAATAGATATTACAGACTTTTTGCATTTTTTCGTTCAATAAAATCTTTTACTAAAATATATTTTACTTTGAAATCAATTTTACTATAATATGACTACCATTAAATATTCTTACAATTCTCTTTGGTATTAAACAACTTAAGTATTATGGAGCATTTTAAATTATTCACCAACTGTCATGTTTCGTGTGACACCCTGTAGTTATCATCGAATGGTATAATGTTAATATAATTATATATTTACCTAGTTTAACATAGTTATCGTCGAATGGAATAATATCAACAAATCTATTCCTGGTTCTATTTTTCTCATCCTGTCCAATACTTCTAGACTTATTTGCATTCACTCTAAAAAAAAAATTACTTTAACTTTTAAAAGGACTGTAAGCGTAATTTTATTGCTTGATTTACAACGGTACAACGGTAAAAAGCTTTATCTAGTCATGATTGAATTATATAACCTTCTATGAAAAGCTGAAACACGAATAGGACCAGGACTTCTAGAAGACAAAAGATTTTCAACAAATCAGTAATTTTTTAATATATTGCTGAAGAGATGAAAATGTGTTATATTAATATTGAAAATTGAAACTTTCATAGCAGTTTTGCTTGATCCTTGTGTTCTACCCAATATCTATTTATATCTCAGATTGGAATTTTTTGGTTTTATAATTGAAAAGTATTTAACAAACATGTATTATTGTTTTTTGGTGTACGTAGTAAATAAATGATTTCCACAAACTCTGATTTTCTAATCCCTACATTTTTAAACCCCATGATGTAGTTGATTTAACATATTTCAAACTATAAAGTAGGTGAGATCAAATTATCTAAGTTTGCAGTTTCAAAGATTTACACCATCCTAGGTTATAAAGATATAGGCATTTAACAAATGCCTTACTCCAATAAGTTTTATTTTAAGTCTGTACCAATTCAGGTATAACCTTCTGTATCCTCAAGTATCAATCAATCGAGATACAACTCGCTCTCGAACTCGCTTGTGCGATCAATAATACTCAGTCTGTTTCAATCCAGATACAACGCTGTTGTCTGTTGTATTCTTTAGTATGCATTTGCTCAGATACAACTGTGCTCTCTATAATACTCTGTTTAATTTAATGCCTTAATCAAGCAGAGTTCTTATTTCAACTGATCTATATTTTGAGTTTATGGTATATTTTAAATTAAATGAACGTAAATAAATTAAATCCTAATATATGTTAATGATTAAGGACCGATAGGTTTCTCAGAAAGTAACGAGCGTAGTTAGGGTACAGATAATGTACAACGTAATGTATATAGGTATGTTCAGGTTTACAAATATGGGGTTTACAACTTTATTTATTACAGGCATTAGAAAATTTAATTTTATGACAAAGACTTGATTCCTTCATTTTACCTCTCTACTGTAGATTTTCTAAAAAGTCCTGACACTGGTTTAGCAAGAGGAATTTTACTTCGCCTAAACAAAATCATGCAAAATAGCAAAACATCGAGAAATTCATTAAATTTGTATCTCTGCTTCAAAAACAGAGCATGTAATGTATTTATATGCATGTATTTTATTTGTACCTGTATTACAGTACATATAATTTATATTTTTTACTATGTACATGTGCTTCTAGAATATAGTTTGTGATATGAATATGTACCTGTACTTTTAAATAGTTGCTTGTAAGTTGTACTATGTAACTTTACTTCAAAAATATAGTTATTTCTACATGTACCATGCACCTCAAAAATCTTGCTTGTACTATGTCTATTTATTTCAAGAGAATAGTGTGTATTTTCATACTATGTACCTGTACTTTAAGAAGAGTAAAAGGATGAAAATAAGTACTATAACTGAGACACCAAGAGATATAGCTGCTAGGGCCCATCCTTGTAAAGATTTATCAGGCGATTCTAAAATTAATCAAATTAGTAAAATTATCAATCATATTTTTTGCAGTTTATCAAAACTAACCTGTTGTTATTGAAGTTGAAGTTTCTGGTGTTGTTGTTGTTGTTGTTGTTGTTTTTGTTGTTGTTGTTTTTATTGATGCTGCTGTTATTATTGTTGTTGTTGTTGTTGTTGTTGTTGTTTTTAGTGCTGCTGCTGATGTTGTTGTTGTTGTTATTGTTGTTGTTGTTTTTATTGCTGCTGCTGTTGTTGTTGTTGTTGTTGTTATGGTTGTTGTTGTTGTTGTTGTTGTTGTTGTTGGCAATATTTCTGTTAAAGATTGTGTTTTTGGAATTGATGTTGTTATTTTTAAATCAGAAATTGTTAAACCATCAGAATTTGGTAAAGCATCAGAATCATTGCTGCTGATGGAACTAGTATTACTGGTATTAATATCATATAGTTTGTTTCTCTGAGTATCTGTGTCCAGGACGAATACTGTATCTCGTTTCTCCTGGATAAAGGCGGGACTTGAACCCTGGAGTAGAACTAGGAGAACAAGATATTTCATCTTCAAACCTACTAATTTTTATATCAAAAATATCATTTTTTTTCTGAAACAAAGTCAATCTTAAAACGGAAAACAAATGAACTCAAGTTCTTACCAAAACTCTGATTTTTAATTCCTAAACCCAATATGTTCAGAGACCTTAGATATTTTATACTTTGTATAATTTCAGATCAATTAAGGTTTGAAATGAAGTCAAACTTTATAGAAATCCAACGTATAGAAACAGCTCCGTTTAGCAACATGGCGTATTTTCCGGGAGAACATTTTTTATATTTTTGAGAAATTAAACGTTTTTGTAAAACATTGTAGCTTACCATTATCATTATCATAATTTCTTTTTTTAACATACCTTAGACATTAAAGGAGCAAAATAGTTTAATACGTACATAGCTACTGCTCTCTATTGTGTTTAAGGTCCCCCAGATTTTATTATGCACTGACAACATAAATGAATGATTATGGTTATACATAAAATTGCGTGTTACTATAGAAAAAGATATTTTATAAAAATGCTATCTACAGTTTCATTTTTAGAAAAAAAATTTCTTAAAAGTATAAAAAAAAGTTCTCCAGTAATGCTAATATGATTCATAAAATTCCGTTTTACCATTTAAATAAAAGGATTTTATGAAAACTATATCTACTTTACACTGATTATTGAATTTCTCAAAAATATAAAAAATGTTCTCCCGGAAATATGCCTACGTTGGATTTCTATAAGGCTTGACGCCTACCATTGTCAGGTTTAAAAGATATAAGGAAAATTTGAGTTTGCAGCAAAGACTCCATTCCAAGACTCCATTCCTTTAAATTAAGGGGGAAGGGTAGTTTTAGAAAACCGAAGTATCAAACTTTTGGAAAAATATAATAAGCGCCGCCTAATTCTACTTTCCTTTTGATGAACTTAAATGACTCACTTATATTTTGTCAAAATATTACACATAACAAACAATGAAGCACCTGAATGTTTGTCAACAGTTAGTATAGATGTGTAAATGTAACAGTATTTTTAGATTTTAAAACAACCAATGTCAAGTAAAACTTAATAAAAATTTTGACTCATACATGAAGATAAAAATTGAAATATCTGTATATTATCATTTTTCCTCAACTGTTTTTTTTTGGTGAAAATAAAAATAAATCAAGTGAGATAGTCTATATAATAATAATACATTTTTGTAATTCCACGGGCAACGCCGGGTACTCCAGCTAGTTATCTATGTTTTCTATGTGCATTGGAAATTAATTAAAGATTGATTTTTTAAAAAGAAGTTTAGGTTATTAAGCAAATAAAAATGAGATCAGCTTATGATTTAAATACAATAGCTGTGTTTACTGTTTACAGAATAAATTACTTTTTTTTACAAAAGTTATTTCTAATTTCTAACTGTATAATTATCAATTACATGCATTTTATCCTTAATTAAGTTTTGATAGAAATACAATTTTTATCGTTTGTTTGGAGGAAAAATTGATACTTTCTATGGCTTCCTATATATTTCAAGGTCTTTATAGAAGCCAGGAGGAAACAAGGAAGGTTCAACACAGAATTGGTACACTCTTCTTGCCTCGATGAGAAGGGGGGAGCCCCTATCTTCCCCCTGCCTGAGAAGGGGGGAGCCCCTCTCTTCCCCCTGCCTGAGAAGGGAGGAGCCACTCTCTTCCCCTTGCCTGAGTCCTGCTTAATTCTGATAAATATTTTGTTGAAAATAATTATTTTTAAAAAGATAAGAAAAATCAATATTTATTTTTTACAACCCAGCCACCCCCCATATTGATGATACATAAGGGATGCTACTCAACCACTTACTACTTATATATTACATTCTTCTCCTAATATCCGTTCTGTCGTTAATTGTTATGAAAATAAAACAACTAATTGTCGAATTTAAATGTCTACAAAAATGTCTTCCACATATCAATTGAGTAACTACATAAAAGGAAAGTATTCGTGGTTAACGATATAAAAATAATTATGAACGATAAAAAACTTCCGACGTGATCACCTGATTTCATTAGATAACGTAATAAAGCTGTGCACGTAATTACACCAAAACATTTGCTAAGAAATTCAGTCTTTGTCACGAACTAAAAATGTTCGAATCCCCATATCTTTGAAACCTGATTGCGTAAAACTTAATATTTTAAATTTAGATTATTTGGAAACTTTTGAATGGTTGATATCGGGATTAATGCTTGATCCACTCTTTTTCTTAATCTCGAGATTAAACAATGCTTGTTTTTCCCTTATGATTAATCTCCAGATGAATTAACCGATCTGTATTAAGGATATCCGATTCTAAAGTTTTCAGCTCTGAGTTTATAGTTTAAATATCCAACCCAAGGACTTCGCCATTGGGTTGCAAAGTTATGAGAATTTAAAAGTCAGAGTTTGAGCCAAAGCCTCGATTCCTTTCTTTTTTAAGAAATAGGTTAGAATCTATTAAAGGTATTCTAATATCACTTGCTGCCTGATTAGGCTAGTCTCCCGTAGGCCGTAATGTACGTTTGCAATACGGATAAATGCAGGTTCTCTGCTATACACAGTACTCGGAGAAATACGGGTCCTCTACTTTACACATAGCTCGGAGAAATGACTAATAACACCTGTTCTCTCTCTACCTCCGATATACGGGTTTACCTGCCAGAGTTTCCGTTCTTTAACAGAGGGTCTCCGTTAGTTTAGGAGGAATGGGAGAATAAAATAAACAGGGTTTCTATCAGTTCAATGAGAACTGGAGAGTATAATAAACAGGGTTTCTCTCATCTCTCAGTTCAATGAGAACTGGAGAATATAATAAACAGGGTTTCTCTCAGGTAAATGAGAATTAAAGAGAATATATTAAACAGGGTTTCTATCGGTTCAATGAGTACTGGAGAATATAATAAACAGGTTTTCTATTACTTCAATGAGAACTGGAGAATATAATAAACAGGGTTTCTATCAGTTCAATGAGAACTGGAGAATATAATAAACAGGGTTTCCGTCAGTTTCGAGGGGATTAGAGAATATAATAAACAGGGTTTCCGTCAGTTTCGAGGGGACTAGAGAATATAATAAACAGGGTTTCCGTCAGTTTCGAGGGGATTAGAGAATATAATAAACAGGGTTTTCATCAGTTTAGAGGGGATTAGAGAATATAATATGCAGGGTTTCCGTCAGTTTCGAGGGGATTAGAAAATATAATAAACAGGGTTTCCGTCAGTTTCGAGGGGATTAGAGAATATAATAAGCAGGGTTTCCGTCAGTTCATAGATACTGCTGAATATAATGAATAGGGTGTACGTCATGGGAGACTGGATAATGATTGTATATTGTATACTACTGTTAGCCTGTTAACCCTATTCCTGCTGGGGGGGTCAATTTGCCCCCCTCCTGTAGTTTTTTTTTACATAACTCAAAAAGTATTTGTCTGAAGCTGTTGAAATCTTCTGACTTTTCCTAAATACCCAAAGCCCTCCCTTAAGGCTTAAAACCGGGCTTTAATACTAACTGCCTGAATGACTGTTTTTTCCTGGAACAAACTAAATCTTTGTTTTGACCCACTTCCACTTGTCAGATTTTGATAAAATTTAGCTTTTTGGAAAGCCTTTGACATAAGGAAACGAATTGCATAAGTTTTTCGAAAAAAAATTGCATATTTTTTGCAAACAACCTGTCAAAGAAAATTTTCACATTTTTAGTTTTTCATGATTAAAAATTAGGTCATTTAAGATTTTTTGCATATTTGAAATGGCTTGGTCAATGGCTTTTCAAAAATGTATATTTTTTCATTTTTTGGACAAATTCTTTTTGCAAACATTTTTACTATATAACTGTATTTTGCGATAAAAAATTTAATTTTTGCAAATTTGCAATTTTTTTTTGCAGATTCTAAAGTAGAGCACAAGAGCTTTCCAATGATGTATCATTTGTCATATTTGGACATCAAACATGGGATTTAGTTTTTGCGATAAAAAATTCAATTTTTGCAAATTTGCAAATTTTTTTGCATATTCTAAAGTAGAGCACAAGAGCTTTCTAATGATGTATCATTTGTTATATTTGGACATAAAACATGGGATTTAGAGGGGGGTCAAATTGACCCCCCCCCCCAGCATATCCTGGTTTGCAAGTACCCCAGCAGAGATAGGGTTAAGTCAGGTACTTTCCCGATGGATTTGCCTAAGCAACTTCCCTAGGGTATTTTTCCCAGTGGCAATTCCTAGCTGTGTAATTCCCAGCCCTCTCATGCCCATCCTAGGCGCAGTGCTCGCCCCCCCCTCCTCCATTAAAGCCTACGATGCCTCATAGGGACTACTTAATAACCTTCAGGAAGCTGCCACTTGGGAAATTGTCCCTTGGGAAGTCGCCCTCGGCAAGATGCCTCTGGAAAATTCCTAATACATTATTGAAGAACTCTGTATTTCACCGAAAACATATTTCATCGGAAACCCGCCATTGCTCATCAGGGAACTCCTTGATACTTTTTTAACAATGTTCAAAGTTTAACATTGTTCATGTTCTCCATGTTTTTCATTAATATTTTCATTACTAAGTAATTAGCGAAATAGTTTTTAATAGCTGAAGGGCCCAAAATTGAAAAAAATAAAGTTTGAAAAAATTTTTGAAAAAATGTCGAATTTGTTTTTGCCTATAACACCCCCGCCACCCATGAGTGTCCACAAAAATTTCAGCCTATACGGTCCAGCCGTTTGGCCGGCTATACGCAACATATATATATGTACGAATGTCTTGTCTTATTATATAGATTTAGTTTTATTTATGTTCTATATAGGACGATTCCGAATTCAGTCCTTCATACACTATACATACGGTGTTAGAAAGCATGATTTGATGGATGCGAGGTCGGAAAGGGAGGGAGAGACCGGGAGGGAGGAGGGTAGGGAGGGAGGGAGGGTAGGGAGGGAGGGAGGATTTCTAAAGGAATATTTCTCTGGTTTGAAAAGGGCAATTTATTAAAGTTTCCTGTTATAAATGGACCACAAGAAAGCGAAGGACAAAATGTTGAAATATTATTAAATTTAATTTTCTTTCTTTAAAACATCAAGGGACAGATTAAATCAGAAAATGAATAATTATTGAGAAACAAACCTTTATTAGCTTTATTCAATTTGCCCTTCGAACGATGGACTTCAGAACTTCAGAAAATGTTATCAGAAGTCCAAACGTTTGTGTGAAGTGTTTGACCTCGAATTACTCCACACAATTGGTATTTTTAAATTCAATGCTCGATCTCTTAATAAAAGTTATCCCTGCAGGGTATGAACGCCGGAATATTGAAGAGGTATTAAATCATTTGGGAAGGTCAGCAAAAGAAGAAGATGATTGTTTGATACCGGTTTGATGCCGTTTTTTTTCCCGCACAAAATTGTGTTGACTTCAGATGTATTTACAGCTCAATTCTTCATTAATTTTATTCTGAAGAATGAATTAAAAAACGGAATATTGAAGAGGTATTAAATCAATGGGATGGTCAGTTTGAAACCGATATACTTTTCACAACAGTTTTGACTACAGAAGTTAGATTTTCGACCTTTGACGATAAACATATCTACATATGTCCTTATTTACAGCACAATAAATTAAATTCCCTTAATAATTTGATTCTTGACAATGCATTTAAAAACTCGGGCGCTTTAATGTTTCAAAAAATTGTAAGCCCCTGAGCTCGGGAAACATTTATATTTTGTAAATGTCCTCTTAGGGCAGCTTAAAATGATAAATTTTTTTTCCAACAAAGAGTTATATAATTTATATTAAAAAAGCAACAAATATTTGTAAAATAAAATCAATTATATAGGTTTACCCACAAGAAAGGATGAGACTCAAGAAACGAGACATACAACTCAAAAAACGTCCCACTCTAAAGATTAATTTTCCGTTAGATTTTACCCTTTTCAATTTATTATTTGTGGAAAAATTAAATGAAAAAACCCAAATTTTGTTGGGTATGGAAGACTTTAAAGGATCTGTACGCTAGCTCTCTTTTTTAAGTCTTTTATTTTGTGGGTAACCTTGCATTACATCCTGTCTGAATGACGACACAAATTGTATTATTATAAGTGCAACATTTTTTCTGTAATAAATATAATAAATGTAATAAATCTGATCAAAGTATGTAAAAATAATCAATACTTTCTAAACAGAAATGGACTGTTTTGTTTTTGTGTAAAAATCAGCTTTACACAATTAAACCGTTCTGCTTTTAACGATTTTTATGTCATTTATAATTATATTGCTTTTTATTTATGTGTGTCATCTACATTCATTTTCCACGATTATTGTTAGTGATTTAAACTAAAACTATTTCTGGATTTCCTATCTTGGGATTATAAAGTTTTACAACTCTGCTTATATGTACTCAGACTAAATTAATTAATAATTTACACTCCACAGTCGGTAGTCAGCTTCTGAAATATTTGTGATCATGTTTTGAAAGATAAAAACACATTTCTGGAAATTCAGACTTTGTTCAAAAATTAAAATTTCTTTTATTAGTGAGAATTGAGGAATTTTATAAAACACAAAATTATAAATTTTGCAGCCCTAGATCTGTACATTTAGAAAATTTAAACGCCATTGGTTCTAGCTTAAGCTACAAGAAGAAATTAGCAAAGAATTCTTCTCGATTTTCTGCGTGAGAGCTGCAGTGCACATCTTGGTTCGCAGTGATGATTTTCAGAGATTTCCTAAATTGCAACAACAACAAAATAAGAAACATCTTAAGCATAGAAAGTCTTTGTCACAATCTCGAATTTTCTAATCCCTATATCTTTGCAACCTGATGGTGTATACCTTCGATATTTCAAACCTAGATTATTTGATCTCACAGAATTCAAAGTTTGACATATCTAAGATGAATATAAGGTTGCAAAGTTATATGGATTAGAAAATCAGAGTTTGTGGCAATGAATCAATTTTTTTCAGATCTGATATGTTACGATTTATAAATAATTCCACAGTTCAAGTGTTAGATACATGTCAAGGTAAAATTGTTGATAAAAAGTAATAGAAGTTGACAAGTAACACCAAGAATAGAAGTTGACAAGTAACACTATAAAAAAGAAGTTGACAAGTAACAGTATGAATTCTGTTTGATCAAAAAGTTTTAATTTGAAAGGCTTACAGCACCAGGTTGCAATAATATATGGATCAGAAAATTATGATCATGAAAAATATCTGCATTTTTAATAGATGAATGGTACTTTGATCTTCTAAAGTCAATGTACAGTACATACAGTAATAAACAGAAGGTTGCAAAGGTTGGTTACTCTCGATGCTCTCCAATGTAAAGAGAATTTCGTCTCCCAAGGTAGATAAAAACCTCATATGACTTAACTATCGCTATAATCAGTGACGTCATATGAGGTTTTTATCTATCTATCTTAGGAGACGACATTTTCCGTACATTGGAGCGCATCGAGAGTAACCCCACTTATTATACAACCTGAATAAGCCAAAGAGAATAGAATATATATTAGAGAGGAATTTACTAGAAAAAAGTGTAAAACGGCCATTTTGTTGTACTGTTTCCATACTGCAGGAGTACTTCATATATTTATGCTATATAACCTTTTGGGTCCTGGAATATCATTTTATATAAAATATAAAATTAATGTTAATAGAAAACCAAATTATGAAATAGGCTGGTTTCTTAGTTGACCAATGATCATTTCACATGGACTCTATGCATTTCACTTTACAAACGATGATTTTCCGTTATAACTATAAATCAAATGATGTTTTTTATTCACCTAATTCATTTTATAAAGTTTATTTAACAACTTTAAAAAATTCGAAATTGAAATGAATAGTCTAGGGAACATACTGTATTAATGTACTCTACTGCATATAATTTGTGAACATTTACATGATTTGTACACTTTGAACTCCCTTTCAGGCTGAAAGGAACTGCAAAAATTCATACCATGAGATTCTCTAATATATATTATATTCTCTATGGAATAAGCATAAACAGTTGAATCTTTGTCGTCTTTGTAGTGAATCCGCGGATTAATTTAATTCCTCTTCGATATGCTGTGATGTTTAAAATAGCTTTCATTGAGGGATCAAGCATTGATCCCTCAAGTTTAAATTTTTTATAAAGTACGAATTTAAGAGTAGCTAATGATTAGTAAATCTTTATTTATCTGGTAATTCTTTATTACAGAGTTCTAATTTCTCCTTTATTTATCTGGTAATTCTCTAGTTTTTCTGCAAGTTTTTATTAATATTGTGGTCCTCAACTTTGTGCAAATGTTTACAGACTCAACAAAATTTGATAAACTAACTAAAGTTAGAAAAACTTTAGAACAGTAGCAGTTCAAAATGTTCAAATACTTTTTCGCCTCCAATTTTAAAACTCAAACAAATGTAATAAAAGGCTTCGCGTCTATTTTCTTATAACTATCTGAACCTTTCAATGTTACATTCCCTGTAAGCAATTTTTTTTAACATTATGAAAATTATTATATTCATTTGTATGTTCTGTACAAAAAGTAAAATGCACTTTTTAATGCATGAACACATATTGGAGTTAAAAACTGAGACACTGAGAAAGTGAGAAACTGAGAAAAACGACATAATCTTCTATTTTAATAATAAAGGTATCAAACATACCGTTGTGAATCCGGCATTAGCATCTTTGCATAGAGGATCATTTACGTTTACAGTCCCTTTAACCTCGCTTTAATATTAATAGAATCTTGAAATTACGTTTACAGTCCCTTTAACGAAACTTTAATATTAATAGAATCTTGAAATTACGCTTACAGTCCCTTTTACGTAACTTTAATATAAATAGAATCTTGTAATTACACTTACAGTTCCTTTAATGTAACTTTAATATTAATAGAATCTTGTAATTACGCTTACAGTTCCTTTAACGTAACTTTAATATTAATTTGAATCTTGAAATTACGTTTACAGTCCCTTTAACGTAACAATAATATTAATAGAATCTTGAAATTACGTTTACAGTCCCTTTAACCTCGCTTTAATATTAATAGAATCTTGAAATTACGTTTACAGTCCCTTTAACGTAATTTTAATATTAATAGAATCTTGAAATTACGTTTACAGCCCTTTTAACGTAACTTTAATATTTATAGAATCTTGAAATTACGTTCATAGTCCTTTTAACGTAACTTTAGTATTAATAGAATCTTGAAATTACGCTAACAGTCCCTTTAACGTAACTTTAATACTAATAGAATCTTGAAATTACGCTAACAGTCCCTTTAACGTAACTTTAATACTAATAGAATCTTGAAATTACGCTTACAGTCCCTTTAACGTAACTTTAATAGAATAGTTACTTTTCCTTTACTCTAGAGCCCGGGAACTCCTTGGTTTTGAGTGTTTTCTACATCACTTTATTCACCGCTTCTCTCTTCCTTTTCATCCTTGTGATATTGATAACTGTAGTACTAGCCTGCAGGTACATTACATATAGAGATAGAATTAAATTATTAAAAAGTGACAAACTCATGAAGGGACAAACTAATGAAGGGACAAACTCATGAAAGGACAAACTCATGAAGTGAAAAACTCATGAAGTGACAAACTCATGAAGTGACAAACTCATGAAGTAACAAACTCATGAAGGGACAAACTCATGAAGTGACAAACTCATAAAGTGACAAACTTATGAAGGAGCAAACTCATGAAGTGACAAACTCATGAAGGGACAAACTCATGAAGGGACAAACTCATGAAGGGACAAACTCATGAAGGGACAAACTCATGAAGTGACAAACTCATAAAGTGACAAACTTATGAAGGAGCAAACTCATAAAGTGACAAACTCATGCAGTGACAAACTTATGAAGTGACAAACTCTGTTTATGTCAATGATTTATTTCAAATGTTGGTTCTCTTTAAAAGTAACTTATAAATTATAAGAATTAAACAGTTTCCAAGGTGGTAGAAAAGCGAATCTTCTTCATTATTTATCAGATTTTGGTTTAAAGGGAACCGTTGTGAATGAAGGGTCGTATGAAATTACAACAACATTCCCTTTAATATTCAAGATAAACTCCCTTTAATATTCAAGATAAACTCCCATTAATATTCAAGATAAACTCCCTTTAATATTTCAGAGCACGAGGTCAGGTTCAAGATAAACTCCCTTTAATATTTCAGAGCACGAGGTCGGGTTAGAGATAAACTCCCTTTAATATTTCAGAGCACGAGGTAGGGTTCAAGATAAACTCCCTTTAATATTTCAGAGCACGAGGTCGGGTTCAAGATAAACTCCCTTTAATATTTCAGAGCATGAGGTCTGGTTGAAGATAAACTCCCTTTAATATTTCAGACCACGAGGTCGGGTTAAAGACAAACTCCACTTTAATATTTCAGAGCACGAGGTCGGGTTCAAGATAAACTCCCTTTAATATTTCAGAGCACGAGGTCGGGTTCAAGATAAACTCCCTTTAATATTTCAGAGCACGAGGTCGGGTTCAAGATAAACCACCTTTAATATTTCAGAGCACGAGGTCGGGTTCAAGATAAACTCCCTTTAATATTTCAGAGCACGAGGTCGGGTTCGAGTTAAACGATCCTGGATGATAAACCTTGATCTTATCCCTGAAGAAAAGAATATAATGAGGAAAATATCAAATAAAATCAGTTCAAATAATTTATCAAAAAAAATGTAAATGTACATTTAATTGAGTAACTTTCTAGTGAGAACTTTCTTTTTTTGAGGTACAATTCTTAGATTTGATGATCTTTATTAATTTTTGACTCAAACATTTTCTGAATAAAGCTGTAAGTGAAAACCCAACTTAAATTTTTTAATCATGGAAGTTTATGATCGATCAATTTTTTGGTTTTAAAAACAAATTAAATAAACGCACAAACAATCTTAAGTTTTTAAAACCTACGATCAATTTGATAAAAACTCAGAGATTCGTACGCTGTATATCCAGCTGAATATAACAGTGTAGAGGAAACCGATTTAAATCCTAGATATTCAAGGTATATACTGAATCCTAGATATTCAAGGTAAATACTGAATCCTAGATATTCTAGGTATTTACTGAATCCTAGATATTCAAGGTAAATACTGAATCCTAGATATTCAAGGTATATACTGAATCCTAGATATTCTAGGTATGTACTGAATCCTAGATATTCAAGGTATATACTGAATCCTAGATATTCAAGGTAAATACTGAATCCAAGATATTCAAGGTATATATACTGAATCCTTGATATTATAGGTATATATACTGAATCCTATATATTCAAGAAAGAAATTGTATTATATATTATATATCAGTACAACCTGATGAAGTAAACCTTTTATATTTCAAACTTATATTTTTTGATCCAACAATTAATCGATAGTTTGAAATATCGAAGGTCTGCGACATAGGGTTGCAAAGATATAGGGATTAGAAAATTAGAGTTTATGGTACAGAGTACAGACTTAATTCCTCGAGGAGATTATTCAAAATTATCTATATTTTTTAAATAAATAAATCTGATTTTAGTAGTAAATCTGATGAGGAATCGCGGAACTCCAGTCCTGAGAATGTAAGAGAAGTTCAGACTATGTTTGAACAGACTGAACAAGATTTGATTTTACGCAAGGCAAGAAGTTTCTCAAAAATTAATGGAAAAAAATTATTTGAAAAAAAAATGTCAACGCGACACTTTCTTCTACGATAAATACTTGAAATAAAAAGGTTCAGAAAAATATTCACAATTATGAATTGTTTTTACGACACCCCAAAGTAATTAAGATTTGTTTAGTTGTATTTTCATGATTACAACAAGTATATGTTTCCATTAAAAGCAATAATTAATAATGTAATTGATATATATAGGTCTATCCAATTTTACTCATTTTACAGCAGGGCGAAAAAGTTACTTTATCGACCTATAAGGGGATGAATTCATTTTCTCAAAAAATTACAAATACTTAATTTTTTAAATCAAAAAATAAATCATATTATTATTGTGATACAATTACATTTTAATATATTTGAATTGAAATTCTATTTTTTTACGAGGGCGGATTATGCAAGATATAAACAGGCGGTCCATATAAAACATATATACCACATTCATCCTCAGCTTTAGTTTTATAAACGTGGTATAAATAATCTTTTTATTTATTTAATAAATTATTAAAATGCTGAACGGACCGAACAGAATTTTTTGGTCTGGATTTAAAAATGATTTTATTTTATTTTCAAATTTAGATACTTGCAAGAAAATAAATAAAATGGACAAGACGCGAAATATTTTACTGTCATTGTTTAAATGTAAAATGGCAATTAAAAGACGGCAGGAAGGTTGCAATGATAAAAGGATAAGAAAATTAGAGTTTTAGGAGTTAGGAGTAATAATATTCGACTTTTAAACTAATTTTTTTCTTTTAGAATTTGAAGCGAACAGTGTCCGAGGAACAGGCGGATTTTGTTATCAGGTTTAATCTAGTTTTACTTATAACATATATTTTTACATATAAAGAGTAATCTCTGTTTTTTTCTGCCTTTTTGTTTGTTTGGTTGACCGATGGGCTGAAATGAAAAAGATTGTTTTTACTAAATATGAAAAGAATAATAAAAACTTTTAGATTACTGAACTGTCCTGATATCTACTTCAATAAGCTACCATCGAAACAAGTAAGATTCCGATATTCCATATGTTTATCAATGGTTAAAAAAGCTGCATTACATTGCCAACTTGTTTTTTGAAGATAAAATTTCTTTCAAATTAGAAATCTTGTTTAAAATTAAAAGATTTTAACATAAAACAATTTTAGATAAATGAAAAGAGAAGGCTCAGCTCAATTTCCGAAATTATCAAAAAGCGATTGAGTATACCAAAACTATTTGAAAAGGTAGGATTATTTTGAGTAACAGATTACACGCCACATTCTCTAATTCTTCAATCTACCCAAATTGATATTGTGATAGACTTTTGATATTTCAAAATATAAATGTGTATACCAGGAGGATGCATATATATGAAATAAAGATTTAAAAAATATACTTTTCAGTTCCGTTGTCCGGATTTGTATAATTAAACGCTTTAAAAGGGACAGAATATGTAAATTTCGCAGATTTTAATACTTCAAACAGCTGAACCCCCTTAAAGAAAATGGACAAAAGTCGATGCTATATTATTTTGCAGATATCAGAAGAAGAAGAAGTCGAAAGTAAAAGAACTTTCAAGACTAAATACAGAAGTAAAAGCCTCAGTTCGCAGGTTTTATTATTTTAGAATAGAGATTTGACCGATTTGAATAACTTCGTATAATTGTCAGTTCAACAATCTGAAAGTTCAAATTGTTTGTTATTTCTATATTAAACTATATTTGCCTTGTCTTTTTTTATTTCAAGCCAAACAAGCCATAACGACTCCGTTGGACATGCATTGTGTGGGACCTTACTCGACTCAGGGGAAGGTTGCAAAGGAAAGAATAAAATCAGTTCAGCCGTTTATGAAGTCTCATCTTTTCTGAGGCCGGGTTTAAAGAATTTGAACCGCAACATGAGACTCGGTTCAAATATGGCTGGTTCAACTTGAAATTTGAATCAGTGTTTCTAGATTTACGCTAGCGCACTAGTTGAACTGGTGATTCGAAGTTCAGCGACGCAGTTCAAATTCATTAAATTCAGACTCTGGGGTCCTTGTAACTTTGTAAGCAATGAATATAAAAAAATATTCTGTAAAATAAACTCTCTGCAAGCTAAAACTTCAAAGAAAATCTGAATCCAAAAAATGTACAAACACTTAATAAGAATATTTTTTAGGGTAAAAATGAGATAACAATACAACAAATACAGGTTTTAAACATTTTATCATAAGATACATTATGTGAGGAAGTTGAACTGAGTATGCAGTGTTGTGGACAAATTCTTTGGGATTCATTTGAGACAGATAATACATTTTAAAGATCTGTAAATCCTGAGTTTGAGCGAAAAGTCGTCGTTCAAAATCATATTTTTGGGTGGATACGTTTTTTTTTAAATTATCAAATAACGACTACAAAAAATGTTAACAAAATACAACAGTAAACTAATTAGTTGTTTAGGAACAGGTTGAAAAAATAAAAATTTATCTTATCATCGAAAATAAGTAATCTTGTTCAATTATTAGTTTCTATTTTTCATTATTCTAGTTTCTCATTATTTACAAAGATTTTCTGCAGATTTTCTGGAATTATTATCGAAAAGACGACATTTGAAGAATTTGTAGAAATCTGCGAATAAATTCATAGAAAATAAGAAACTCAATATAATAATGAAAATGAAATATCTGATTCTAGCATTGATTTATTGACAAAGTTCTTTTGAGAAATATGTTCCATCCAATTAGTTTACTGTATAATTTTTACTTTATTCTTTATCTTATCTTTTATTACTTTATCTACCCAAATTAAAGATTTTGAACGTCGACTTTGCGTTCAAACTCAGTAATAATACATCGTGGAAAATTTTCAAATGAATCCTAAAGAATTTGTCCACAACACTACATACTCAGTTTAATTACCTAGTTAGTTAAACTACCTTACATAGCCGGTCTGTCCCTTTAATGTTGATTTCGAAAATACAAGCCTTGGGACTTTTGAAATGTGGTTTGTTATTTTTGTGTCTTCAAACTCGATGGAGATCTTACGAAATTCGTCCAACTTTCATCAAATTGAATCAACACCTTCTAAATATCTAATATTTGTGTCAATTTTAAAAATTCCAAGAAAGAAGAACATATTTTGGAAAACGTTTAAAACTTTAAACATGTTTAATTACTTCAGACTTAAATAATAGAGATCATTAACGATTTGTATGTCGTCTAAATACCAATGCTTATTTTAATTAGTAATAGACAATCATAATACTAATACATGTTTAAAGCTTGTGTCTTTATGGTCTAGATAATCAAATACAACAAGTCAGTCATAGATTTTTATTACCTTCTTTTATGTCTAGTGGAATTCGTTTTTTTTATGTGGAACGTATTGATAATCCATAGTCAAATATATTTCAAACTTTTTTCTGAATTCTCATGTTTGTTGGACCCCCTGTATTACAGGCTCTGCGAGCAGTGGCCGAGGGTGAGGATAATGTGCAGGAGGTAGTTAAACCTGAGGTCTGGCAGCGGAGGTCAGGGGTTGCAGGAGACGGAGGTCGAGCTATACCAAAAGAAATAGTTAGAAGTCTAAGCGAGGTAAAAATTCTAAATTTAAAAATGAAAGTTTATTGATCAATGATTAGCACACCTTATTTATGATATTAAAAAATTTCCAGTTTTTAACATCTATCAGTAAAACAAAAAAATCCGCAAAATTTTTTTTAAAAATTAAACAACTTTAAAACAAACTTTATTTCTGAAAAAAAAATTTAAAAAGAAACCTAAACATTATTTTTTTGTTTCTTTAAACTGCTTTAGATTTAACTTTTTTTCTAAACTTGTTTAGGCTGGGCTCACTAATTATGGAAGATTGAACGGGGGAAGACGATCAGCTGTTATATTTTCAGAGGAATTCTAAGCGGTGTTGCGCACACACGAAATTATCCTTCAACAATCAACACCGAAAAATATCTCCTGATCTCACTGTTTTGCCAAACATTACGGACCTCTGTTTCTCCACAAGAACAAATATTTGTTATTCTAGTAGTGGCTACGGACTCCAGGGCCAACAAGGTCTCCATCTTTAAATGACTCCATGCAAAATGACAATGCACAATTCACACTTTTGTACGTTTTGTTTTACAAATTCTGTAGATTGTAGAATGCGCAAGTCACGTTAGTAGATAAAATAATCAGTTTAAGGGTACAGTTGTGAATCGAGGATTTTCATCTTTGTATTAAGGTTCACTGAGATGTTATCGGAACAGAGCTGAAAACTTTAGAATGGATAAACTTTAATCCTGACTTCTTGATCCGAATATCCACTTTGGAAACTTTTCATTTTAGTCCTTAATCCACTCTTTTTCTCTATCCTTGGATATCCGTTAATTGTTTTCTCCAATGAGAATATTTCTGTTCTCTCATTGGTTGCCCGCTTTTCTCTGAATGCCTGCTACAGTTTCTCAGATGATTAAAAATCAATTTTAATTTTATCGTTTTTCATACACTTTTAAGATAATCTTGCAAGATTATGTTAATCTGGAGATTAAGAAAAAGAGTTGATTAAGCCTTAATCCCGATATCCACCATTCAAAAGTTCCCAGCTCAGATCATGTTAATCCCAGATGGTAAAAATTGACAAAATTAAATCAGTATTTGATTCATCGCATAAATATATCTGAATAAATATATACTTTTTTAAACTCGCACTTAAAAATTAAACAAAAAGTGCTGTGAAGTCAAAATTGAATTAAGAATTCGTGTAAAGATGAGAGGATAAAATAAAACGTGGATGAAAAAACTAATTTAAGTTTTTAAGAACAATAAGTTTTCTTCCATGGCAAAAATACTAAATTTCTGGGACAAAAATGATATAAGAACTCGTAACTTATCTCAAAAATGATATAAGAACTAGTAACTTATCTCATAAATGATATAAGAACTAGTAACTTATCTCAAAAATGATATAAGAACTACTAACTTATCTCAAAAATGATGTAAGAACTAGTAACTTATCTCAAAAATTATATAAGAACTAGTAACTTATCTCAAAAATTATATAAGAACTAGTAACTTATCTGAAAAATACAAGTACTTCCCTCTTTTTTGTATTTAAAAATCTTAATGCTCAGACTTTCGTCAAAAAATGAAACTTTCATTATATAGTATTCAGTATTAATTCACTCACAAAACCTAGATTTTACAGGAATTTGGCAGATTTGTTAAAAAAAAGAAGTATACCAAAAGCAAATCAATTTTCGCACAATTTCGCACAAACTGCAAGCAAAATTGAGCGAAACTGTGATAAACAAAATTCCGCAAAAATGTGCGTTCTTCTCTATTATTATGTATAATCCATGCGGCTCTTTTTTATTTCCTCCAAAAAACTGCAGTACAAATTTTTGTAATAAAAGTCCAAAGGAGCAGGGTTATCCACAAAGGATGAGACTGTAAAGACGAACCAAATTTCTGAAAATATGACTATTTAAATCTTGATTTTTGGTTCTACGTGTTACGGCTTAATAAATGATTAAGCACAGAAATATGCCAGCTTTGGCCTACAAGTAACCTTGAAAGCATAAAAAAGGATTAAAATTCCGTACAATCGTCTTTGAAGTGTGAAGTCTCAACCTTTATGGTTAACCCTGTTCTTTGTGTTTCTTGTGTATCTGTCCAGCTTAGTAAAGAGTAGTTCGATAACTTTGTTTGTATTTACTTTCCAGTATGATAAAATTATTATAAATGTCAATTATTAAGAAATTGTTTCAGTTTATATTGAGATGTTTTGCGCCTACGAATCAAAGCATTCGCTGTTATCAAGCCATTTTAGGAACTTACATTTCGAGCAGAAACTTTTGATAAAGAGACTGTACGCGTAAATTCAAATAACCCTCCATGAGAGGATAGAAATTCACGATTCACATCTGTATCCTTCAATGCTTTGTCTGATTAAGTATGAATTAGATAACATGCACAGTCTAAGGGTGTGAATTTTTTCTGAAACAATTTTACAGAAGGAAAAAATTATTCTACAAGGAATATTAAGTCATGTTTATAAAATATATTTTTCACAAAAATCAAAAATGTGCCCCTCAAACGGGGGTTAATATTTAAAAAGTATAAGTGAAAATGAAAATTTTGAAATACTTATTGAATTGGGTATCATTAGAACCGAATTGAATTTCTCAATTCAAATCAATTTACAGAATCGAAAAATATTAACATTTGACTGAGTAAGGTCAAAAAAGACATTTTTTTAGTAATAGTGAAATTTATTCAAAGAAAAAATCTATTTTTGGCCATAATTTGCCCAATTTTCAATATTTTTCAATTCTGTAAATTGTTTTGAACTCAGGTTTTCAAGCTGGTTCAATGGATACCCATGTTATTAAGATTGTCAAATTTTTCATTTTCACTAACACTAGTGATTTTTTTATCATTAAACCCCATTTAAGGGGCATATTTTTAAATTTTGTGAAAAATCTATTTTATAACCATGCCTTAGAATTCCAAGTGGAATACTATTTTTAGAGAATATAATGATTTTAGAAAAGTTTTACTAAATTTTACATCTATAGGCAAACATTTAGGAACTATCCGAATTAAATACGTTTAAAACCCAGAAATATCTCCCCACAATATTGAGCAGATAAAGGTTTCAAGGGTACCTTTGTGAATCAGGCACTGCCATCTGTGCATGGAGGGTCACTTGAAATTGCGCCTCAATGCTGGAGTTTGGTTTTGTTTTCTAGCTAATCCTCGGGTTTGGTTTTCTGGTCAATGCATGAATTTGGTTTGGTATTCTTGTCAATGCTCTGCACTGAATTAGTTTAGTATTCTGGTCAATACTAAGATTTGGTTTGGTATTCTGATCAATTTTCTGGTTGAGTTTGGTATTCTGGTCAATCCTAAGGTTTGGTATTCTGGTCAATACTAAGGTTTAGTATTCTGGTCAATCCTAAGGTTTAGTTTGGTACTCTGGGCAATCCTAATGTTAGTTTGGTACTCTGGTCAATCCTAAGGTTTAGTTTGGTACTCTGGTCAATCCTAAGGTTAGTTTGGTACTCTGGTCAGTCCTATGCAAGGGCGTATACAGAAATAAATCTAGGGGGCGAAATTTGCGCGAAAAGCCAAAAAAAAAAATTTGCCCCCACCCCCCACCCCAATAGGAGCTTCTAGGGGGGGGGACAAATTTATACTGTAAATTCAAAACATTTGGCTTCTTTGATATGTTCAAGCACTACTTTATCTCTCCTTTAAACAAAACTAGCAAAAAAAGCATTGTTTCTAAAAATATTTGCACCTTCCCCCTTCCCCCCCCCCCTGTATACGCTCTTGATCCTAAGGTTAGTTTTGGCATCTGTGACTAAAAATTGTTTTAACACTGATAATTAGATCTAAAATGTTTAATACAATCAAGAATTCAACAGTTCATGAACTAAATTCATGTTTAGGTATTTATTCTTGTGATAAAAATGTTATAATAAAAAAACTTCTTCATCTCAATTTGTGAACAATTGGATAATCAACAATCGCACACCCGATTCACAAGAGAACGCCGTTCGTTATTCCTAGGAGAGCCAACAAACCAACCATACAGGGTTACTCAAAACGGATGAGACTTTAATGAAAACATTAAACGATTTAAGTTTTACAATCTTAAGTTTATACCGGGCCTTCTAAATATTTTAATACTGTATCTTCACTGATTTGATAAGGAAAAAAAATCAATGTTACAGTACAACTGTAGATGCCAGAAAAATATATTCCGTCGTCTGTGAAATCTCATCCTGTTGGGGTAACCTTTTTTTTGTAACAAGGCTATAAAGTCAAACGATTTAATGCAATTTGTCAATTTATTGAGGGCAGCTTATTAAATGGTTCAATGTATAAAAAAGTGTTGCTTTATTTCTAGTTAAAATATCAAACAATGACGAGTTTTCTTCCGCTTAGAACTTTACCCTATTATAGAACCATGGAAAGCATTATCACTGAGTGTCTTCTACATCTCATTATACACAGTTTCCCTTCTATTCTTCATCATTATCTTCATAGTTACCATAGTACTAGCTTCCAGGTAACCAATATAAGAGATAGATACCATAGTACTAGCTACCAGATAACCATATATAAGAGATAGTTACCATAGTAATAGCTTCCAGGTAACCATATATAAGAGATAGTTACCATAGTACTAGCTTCCAGGTAACCATATATAAGAGATAGGTAACTATAGTACTAGCTACTAAGTAATCATATATAAGAGATAGGTACCATAGTAATATATTCCAGGTAACAATAGATAAGAGATAGGTAACTATTGTACTGGCTACCAAGTAATTATATATAAGAGATAGGTACCATAGTAATATCTTCCAGGTAACAATAGATAAGAGATAGGTAACTATAGTACTAGCTACCAAGTAACCATAAGATAAGAGATAGGTAACTATAGTACTCTATATAGCTACCAGGTAACCATATATAAGAGATAGGTACCATAAAACTAGCTACCAGATAACCATAAGATATGGTTTTAGGTACTCTCCAAATGGCATTTTCCCGAGGGCAACTTCCCAAGTGACAATTTCCCAAGAGGCAACTTCCCAAATGTGCAATTTTCCAAGCGGCAACTTCTCATAGGTTAGGTTAGTTCCTCTGAGGAGCCGTAGACTGCAATGGGGGCCGAGCGCGTCGGCTAGGATGGGCTATGGGCCGAGCGCCGCGGCTACAACAGACTGGGGGCCGAGCGCGGCGGCTAGGACAGACCTGGGAAGTTCCGCTTGAGAAATTGCACAATTGGGAAGTTGTGCTTGAGAAAATACTCTTGGGAAGTTGCCATTTGGGAAAAATCCTTTGGGAAAGTACCTAACATCAAACCATATATAAGAGATAGGTACCATAGTACTAGCTACCAGGTAACCATATATAAGAGATAGGTACCATAGTACTAGCTACCAGGTAACTATATAGTACTTTGTGGTTTTCAAAACTTCAGAATTTGCGCCATTTTTCCCCAAAACTAAACCGACCTTATTCCCAAAAAGTAGCTCCAAACATTTGAGTTGCAATGGATAAGTAACCTTGAAACATTAACCTTGCTCAGGGTTAAAGTTATTTTTTTGGTATTAAAAAAACCTATTGAGGCTTCAGGACTGCGTCGTAATGTGAACAACTATCACTAAAATATATGGACGCGACTAATATTTACTATTTAAAAGGTATTTGCATAACGGGTTTATATTTCAGAACCCGAGGAAGTATAAGAGAAGACCGGTCGTGGATTATAAACCTGGAAAAGAAGAATTCAATGAGGAAAAATGTTTATCTGTAGATATATAATTTAGCATATTCTTGTTTACTTATTTTTATTTATAAGTTGATCAACAAAATCAGTTAAAATCATATTGCATTTACTATTAATAACGGTAACCAATTGAAATCTTTAAATGGAGAGTCACTTACAATCAAGGCTGTTTAATAAGGTTGCTTAATCTAGATGCGGTCCAATGGACAGTTTAAATCCGTAAATTACTTTATTGATCTTGGGGCAGTGTTCTTCGGAAGAGGGTTTGAAGGTGCACGGACAGGTTTTATACACGCAAACCGTCTCCCTAAGCACACACCTAACGCCATTTACGGTTTTCACTACTCAATGCTTTGGAGACGACATATTCCGTGCATTGGAGCCTATTGAGAGTAAGCAACCTTACTAAATAACCTTGCTCAAAACTATGTAAACAGTAATTTAAAACAACTTGTTGGTTCACTCAATGCACGATCTGATTCTTAAATATCTAAATGACCAGAGATTGCTACGCTGTCTATCCATCAGAATATAATCAGGAGAATATAATGGAGACTTCTTCCGATTTGAGATATTTCAGGTATTCAATTACGAAATGGAGTCTTGCAACAAACTAAAATTTTCTAATCCATATATCTTTGCACACCATATATCTTTGGGTTGCAAAGATAAATAAGGACTAGGCTTTTAGGGCGCCCATCTTCTATTTAAATTGTGAACACGTTCTTTTTGTTTACATTTTAAAACAAAGAAGAAAAAAATTTTGCGGATTTTTAAAAAAAATTCACGGATTTAAAGAATTTAAATTTTTTTACAAAATTAAAAACCCTTAAAACACATTTTTTTAAAATTTTTATCATTCGTAAACCTTCCCTGTGGTCACGTGATCCCACAAAAAAATCGGGCCCGACCGGTTCAGTCGTTATGACGTTTATTGGATACAAACAAACAGACGAACAAACAGACAGACAAGCCAAATTTATATATAGAATAAAAAATCAGAGTTTGAAGCAAAGACTCAATTCCTTTAGTGAGAGTAGTTCTTTATTTTTGTATTAAATTGAAAAAAACGACTTCAGGCACAAGATTTTCAGTGAGATAGATAAAGATATGTCCGTCATCAAAGGTTTCAATAATAGCTATAAAGTGAGTTTATTAGTTAATTATTAAACCAAAATGTCTGTTTTTAAGAAACCTTCTGCAGTACGCTTTATATGGCGTTCAAAGTAAACCGTTATAATCCAAATTTAAAACGTTAGTATAATTCTACGCCGATTCCTTTGGGTTCGAACAGGGTTCTGCTGACTATATCTGGGTTCGAGCAGGGTTCTGCTAACTATACCTGGGTTCGAACAGGGTTCTGCTAACTATACCTGGGTTCGAGCAGGGTTCTGCTAACTATACCTGGGTTCGAGCAGGGTTCTGCTAACTATATCTGGGTTCGAGCAGGGTTCTGCTAACTATACCTGGGTTAGAACAGGGTTCTGCTAAATATACCTGGGTTCGAACAGGGTTCTGCTAACTATACCTGGGTTCCAGCAGGGTTCTGCTAACTATACCTGGGTTCGAGCAGGGTTCTGATAAATATACCTGGGTTCGAACAGGGTTCTGCTAAATATACCTGGGTTCGAGCAGGCTTCTGCTAAATATACCTGGGTTCTAACAGGGTTCTTCTAAATATACCTGGGTTCGAACAGGGTTCTGCTAAATATACCTGGGTTTGAACAGGGTTCTGCTAAATATACCTGGGTTCGAACGTGGTCTAGCTGGACACATGACCGCATGCCCCCCTCTTTACAGGGTTCTACCTATATCTGAAGAAAAGTCTCCTTTTTAGAAACTATCTTACCAAACACTTGCTTATCTTTATGTTGATGTCTATTACTAATTTTATGCCGTCTAGTTTTTTACCTTTTTCTTTAAAAAATCCTCTAATATATATATATATATATATATATATAAATGTATAAAAGTATTTATTTCTCTTGATCAGATGTTTATTTGCATTGCAAAATTGTATCGTAAAATATGAGAATATCGTCATGTTGGCGGATTTTTCTTTAAATGAAAAAGATAAACTTCTTAACCTTTGTCGGCTTCGTAAACTTTTGAAAATATAAAAATGAAACATTAAATAAACAAATTGTGCCGGTTTCCTTGTGTATATCTGACTCAGTATAGAGTTTATAGTGAACATTGAAAAGTGTGAATTAAATTAAAACCTTAAACATGATAAAGTAAAGTGGTACCGATAAAACTCTGGAATAGAAACACCGCTATAGCGACGACTTGAAACTCTTTAAATATGACGATTCAAAGTTAAAATTAAGTTGTCTTTCTTTAATAAAGTCTTTTAACGGCTTATTTGATAATCGGAACGAAAGAAACAAGTTTAAAGTTTTAGAGAATCATGAATAAAAGAAAGTAAAAATTTGAAAAAAGTGGTCTTAATGCCGGGGAGGTCGATCGGGGTACATCTTTAAACGCTAAATACAGTCCATTAGTTTGTTTTTCGATATCTCAAACATTATTTAGTTTAATTCGGTTAATTTTTAATTATAATTTATAATGTATTAAAGAAAACTTTTGGACCGTTGCAATTTGTTGGATTAGAGCATTTTTTCAGAAAAGTGAACCATAGTTTCACAATAATTTTAATAGCATCCAATATTATTATCAGATAAGTGAACCATAGTTATATAATAATTTTAATAGCATCCAATATTATTATCAGATAAGTGAACCATAGTTTCACTAAAATTTTAACAGCATCCAATATTTGTATCAGATAAGTGAACCATAGTTATATAATAATTTTAACAGCATCCAATATTATTATTAGATAAGTGAACCATAGTTATATAATAATTTTAACAGCATCCAATATTATTATCAGATAAGTGAACCATAGTTTCACTAATAATTTTAACAGCATCCAATATTTGTATCAGATAAGTGAACCATAGTTATATAATAATTTGTAATGCATCTAATATTATTATCAGATAAGTGAACCATAGTTATATAATAATTTTAATAGCATCCAATATTATTATCAGATAAGTGAACCATAGTTATATAATAATTTTAACAGCATCTAATATTATTATCAGATAAGTAAACCATAGTTATATAATAATTTTAACAGCATCCAATATTATTATCAGATAAGTGAATCATAGTTTCACTAAAATTTTAACAGCATCCAATATTATTATCAGATAAGTGAACCATAGTTTCACTAAAATTTTAACAGCATCCAATATTTGTATCAGATAAGTGAACCATAGTTTCACAATAATCTTCATAGCATTCAATATTTAAAGATAACCTTATTTTCAGTAAATCTGGAGCAGAAGTTCAGAATTCAATTCTGGAGAATATGATGGATGAGGATGAAAACCACGAACAGGATTCGAGTGAACGACCGGTAGATTAATTATTTAAATACAGGGTTACTACAGTAAAAAAAAAACTGTCTAAATGACATAAAACTCGTTGGACCCGAAACGGATTAACTTAAAACAAGCCCTAACCCTTACTAAAAATCAATTTAATATAATAAAGACATTTTTGGCTGAATAATATATTTAATATCAGTTGACAATTAAAATCTAAGAAAATGATATCACGGGGCACCCCCCTGTATTAGGGGAGGGAGGGGGGAGCAATATTGAGTTTATACCAGAAACCTCTAATTCGAGTCGAATAAGGCTTGTTCCCTTGAGTATTTTTTTGTAGAGAAGTCTCCAAGTCATCGTAATGTTATATTGCAGTTCTAAAAGTTGACGGAAAACTGGGAATTTCCGTGAAAACTCTTAAAATGGGTATTTTATACACAAATCAGAGCCCAAACCAATACATGGGCGGGCGTGTGGCGCCCCTACATCTTAAATTAATGGTTTTTAGACTCTATTTATATATTTAGATTATCTCGAAACCGCGGTGCTTTCTTTCACTTATGCTATAAAATATTTGTTTTTCTCCCGAAATAGCTCTAAATATATTGCGGGTTTACAGGATCCATTCCAGGATAATAGATCAGGAAAAGTAATTATAAATTGAAATCATTATAAATCAATGCAAAATACAATTCATACAATGTTTCTAAATGAAAAGATTATCAGAATATACTTATGTTGTCAATTCTTGCCATGAAACACAAGACATATGCATTTTCCAGAGAATTGTGACCAAAAACCAGTCATCCCCCCCCCCCTTAAATACCCCTCCTTGGGGGGTATGGAAAGATTTGCTTACTATAGATACTTACGGATAAACTTTTTGACTTTTCTTTTGCATTTTCATAACACTTTTTTTAGACTTTGAATCGAACTTTATCTCAGGAACAGGCAGATTTTGTTATCAGGTTAATGCATTCTTTAATCAAAAGTTACTTTTCATTTTATTGATGTTACTGCAACATTAAAGGAAATTATCAGAATTTAACACGTTTAAAGATAAAAAAAGTAATATCTTCCTCAAGAGGTAGAGAGAGAGGGTAACATTTGGAATCGGACATAAACTTTAGACGGAGGGATACTTACTTTTAACTTTAAAGTCTAAATTTAAGTTGCATTTTATCTAATGTGTAAATTAATTATTTCAACTATTTAATTTGATAATATAAAGGAATTGAGTCTTTGCCAAAAACTCTGATTTTTAACCCCTATATCTTTGTGACCAGATGTCGTAGATCTTAGATATTTCAAACTATGATATCTGTTTGATCAAATAGCTGTAGTTTAAAATATCACAGGTTTACACCATCGAATTGCAAAGATAGGGATTAGAACATTTAAATTTGTGGCTAAAACTCAATTCCTTTAGATTAATAAACTGTTTGAATATTAATTATTTAAAAATAATAACTTGATAATATAAGTTTAGATTAATAAACTGTCCAAATATTAATTATTTAAAAATAATAACTTGATAATATAAATTTAGATTAATAACCTGTCCAAATATTAATTATTTAAAAATAATAACTTGATAATATAAATTTAGATTAATTAACTGTCCAAATATTTACTTCGACAAACTACCACAGAAACAAGTAAGATTCCAATTTTTTCCCCCAATTCTGCGATAGTTATTAAATTTTGAAAAGTATTAAAATCATGATAAAGAATTAAATTTGGCGTTTTCGAAAAAGACCGATTTTTTCACTCAAGTATATTGAATTTCAAATAAAAAAATGACAAGAGGTTGAAATTATGTCTGAACTCATTTGTATAAACTTATGAACTGCAGAAAGTTTATAATGCCTAAAGTCTGATATCACTGGTTTAAGATAAAAAAAGTTTCGCTCTGATAACATAGTTTTGTGAGGATTACCTTTCATTTGTTTTTTTTGCCATTGGTATTTTGAGCAACCTATTCAACAATTTAAAACTGCCAGAGATTTTAAAAAAAAATTTCATTTGATAATTTTAGATAAATGAGAAGAGAAGGCGTAGCTCTGTGTCTGATATAATAAAAAAGAAATTTAGTCCCCAAACTCCCACAGAGTTTAATATACAACAAATACAGGTGAAAGAAATGTTTATTATATATTTTTTTCCTTTTGTGTACTTTGATCCACATAAAACTTTAGAATGTGTAGATGACATTAAAGAAATATTCAATTGTATTGCATGTCGCTATAAAGCGAAGAATTTGTATTGTACAGCTTTCAAATCAACTTATTAGTTTTTGCTTACTCATGCACAATTGCCATTCATTCATTCCACTATAAAATCATATCTTTTGTCTTAAACTCCATCGTTTTATGGGGACCACTGTATTGAAGGCAATGCAAGCTATTGCTGAGGGTGGAGAGGATGTAATGAACATGAGACAAGACAGGAGAAGGAGGTCAGAGATCTCTGGAGAAGCGCCTCGGCATATACCTGATGAAATACTGAGAAATTTGAGAGAGGTAAAACGTCACAGAAACTTATTTTAAAGTAACTGGCCGACTTTTAGGCAGCTAGAACAAATTGCACAGTATATATTACTTTATTGGTTTTCTATGTATTTTATTTTTCAGGCTGGAGTGACGAACTACGGAAGATTATATGGCGGAAGACGATCCGCTGTTGTATTTTCATGACAGTATTCAGCGGCATTGCGCACGAAGCAATAGCATCTTTGTAATTCTGAACACGTCTTTCAAAACTTACTCAGAACCATGTTACAAATGATATGATGAACGTACTTTAATCAGTATTTAATTCTTACAAGGACCAAAACTAATAAATTGCCGAAGTAGTTGAACTACTTAGATGGAATCGAACCACTCCTCTTCATCCTGACCCAGAGAACTAGTTAAACAAGCGGTCTCGGTATTCATTAAATCTGGTTCCAAATCATTACTATTTAAATCATTGTAAATTTATTTGCTTTAACTATATGTATTATATATATGTATTAAATAAAGGAATAGTACTAAAACATTGCAACCTGTAAATATATGTTCGTTATAGTTTGTTAACGCATAAACGGTCAACTTATTTACCTGTACACATAAATAAAGATAAGTTGAATGCAGATTGCAGACTCTATTTATTATCAGACCAGGTTTACCAATGTAAGGTAGAGAAGACAGAGTTTGAGACCTTTGGGTTATAGATAACCCTGTACTTAGAAATACTTTCAAAGTAACGCATTTATTACATATGTAATAAATTACTGCCTATCCATAAATAGCTGTACATATTAACATAATGGTAAATATCCATAAACACCTGTACATATTAACCTAATGGTATATATCCATAAATACCTGTACATATTAACCTAATGGTAATATCCATAAATACCTGTACATATTAACCTAATGGTATACATCCATAAATACCTGTACATATTAACCTAATGGTATATATCCATAAATAGCTGTACATATTAACCTAATGGTATATATCCATAAATACCTGTACATATTAACCTAATGGTAAATATCCATCAATAGCTGTACATATTAACCTAATGGTAAATATCCATCAATAGCTGTACATATTAACCTAATGGTATATATCCATAAATAGCTGTACATATTAACCTAATGGTAAATATCCATAAATATCTGTACATATTAACCTAATGGTAAATATCCATAAATACCTGTACATATTAACCTAATGGCCGACACTGACTGAATGGAGAATTGGCAAGGAAAGGGTTGTAAAGAGCTGAGGAGAAAATTGAAATGTTAAGCATGAAAGGAAAGAAGAAGTTTAAGTCGATGAATAGAAGAAAAATAGGTTTTCACTCTGGAGCTCTACTCCTAGTTGAAAATATATGCGCACAGAATATTATTATCTAGAAGAAGATGTTTATAGGGATTGAGAACAAAATCAAATATTTAAACCTCAATATCTCAAGAACTCGATGTTGTAAACCTTTGATATTTCAAACTCAGATTATTGGATCTAACAGAATTCATAGTTTGAAATATCTAAGGTCTGCAACATTTGGTTCCAAAGATATAGTGATTATGAAATCAGAGTTTGTGGCAAAGACTCAATTCCTTTACAAAAATACTTTGATTAAGAAAAGATTAAAGGAAGGTGGACGTGACTTTGAGTCACATTTTATTTTCTCTTTAAACCTTTGTCTGATCAAAGATGAATGATATATCCTAATTCTTCTTTTCTAGGAAGATAAAATTCAATTGTGGCTTCTTTATATCTGCTACGGAGACATCACTCGAGAAAGGGAGTCAGAATTCTACTCCTTTCAAAATAGAAAATTACCGATAAATTCCTCATTAATATCCGAACAAAGTTTTAAAGAGTACTTTTGCTTTTTACTTCAAAAAAAAAAAACTTGAAAAAATGCATATAGGGTTAAATATGAATTTATTGATTTATAAAATCTTATAGTTCGATTACTTTTTGTGGACAAAAACTAGAGAAAAATATTTGTACCAAATCCCGTCATTAAAGTGTTAGCTTAAAGAATATATCTATGTGAAAGTATATACTTTAATGATAAATATCTTTCTATCTACCCTTTATTTAAGAAACAGTTTTCGGATGGTTCCGCTGCTCATGTTGTTTATTGTTTAAGCTAAATATAGATTAAAGTTCATGGTTTGGAGGAGACTTTCTGCGGAAAAAAACGGTTTTATTTAATGATGCCTTGATCTATACACAGGATACGTTGTACTCTGGGTTAAAGAGACTGTAAGCCAAATATCAAGTGACCCTCTATGCAGAGATGGCAATGCCCGATTCAAAACGATACCCTTAAAATATTTGTCTTATCGACAAGTATGAATTAGGTATCAATGTTTATATATTATCATTCGAAAACTTATTATATACATTTGTGCTTTCTTTACAAAAGTGACATTATCAAAAGAAAATTTTTAAACAGAGGAAAATGGCAATATCTCCCACATTATGGATCAGATAAAGATTACTATGGTACCTTTGTGAATCGGGCATAGTCATTTTTGCACGGTCACTTGGAGTTACACTTACAGTCGCTTATATATGGACGACCCCTTTGTACAGGACAGATTTTCCGCTAGATTAAGAAGAATTGATTCTCTGTAAAGTTTCATGGTTTTGTGTCCCTATCTTTAGTTTAATGGATGAACACACAATAGATAGAATTCTTTTCCAATACTTGTACACTTTCTAACTTACTTTACATAGAAGTAAATAGATAGATAGAGCAAGTGGATGAGTAAAGGGTGGGGAAAAATTAGATTAAAAAATAGGAGAAAGAGAAAAGGAAGGGTAAGGGAAAAAGGGAGGTGAAGGGCTAGTGGAAAGGAACTGGGAAGGGGCCGAAACGGAAAGGTGTGGAAATGGAAACGGAAGTGGAAAGGGAAGGGGAATTAGAAATTGAAACTGCAAAGGAAAGAGAAGAGGATAGAAGGGAAACAGAAAAGGAAGTGAAAAGCGAAGGGGGAAAAAAGGGGAACTGTAAAGGAAAGAGAATGGGAAAGGAAGTGGAAAGGGAATTAGAAAGGGAAACGGAAAAGGAAGTGAAAGCGAAGGGGGAAAAAGGGAAACTGAAAAGGAAAGAGAACGGGAAAGGAAGTGGAAAGGGGAGGGGAATTAGAAAGGGAAAATGTAAAGAAAAGAGAAGAGAAAAGGAAGGGAAGCTGAGAAGGAAGTGGAAAGGGAAAGAGAACGAGAAATGGAGTGCAAATTAAAAAGAATGGGAATGAATTGTAGTTAGAAGTGCTCGGATGTACTGGTTAAAGAGTATTTAGATTTGTAACCATTTAACCCCATTCAAGGTAGATATTTTGAAAATTCATTTAAAAATCTTTATTTTGCAAGACGTTTTAATGTACAAGTTTTAAGGTCCATAAAGCGTTTTTGATGACTTATGTCTGAAATTAATCCGATTAATGCAAAACCTATTTAACTCAAGTTTTGTGTGAGAAGAAAAGGACTTAGAGAAAAAAGGGATTAAATTAATAAGAAGGAACAAAAGGCATAAAAGATGGCACGGAATTGTGGAACTAATTACAATATTCGGGGATAGGTACGGGCTGTTTGCATTTCACTTCGGCTTGTAAGGACAGTTCAGGAACTTGTTAATTGTTCAGGAACTTGTAAATTGTAAACTCTAACCTCTATCGTAAAAATTGAAATCATGCTTACTAAACATTGTTTGTTTACAAAGAAAAACCTAAAGTTAGAGCTCTTCTTATTCGTCACAGAAGAATGTAAAAAAAAAAACATTTTCCTTAGAGATTGATGAAAATAAAGTATATAAGAAGAGGGGATAGGATGGAGATTGAAGAGGGTAAAGTAGACGGGAGTTGAACAGTGTTTAATCTATTCCATGAAATTCAACAGAATCAATATAATCTGGGAAGGTCAGATTAAAGGTTTTCGTTCATCCTAACTATTCCGGCTAAAAATAGTCGGCGAAATTTAAATTTTCAATATTCATTTTTTAATTTTTTAGAGATTTTATTTGTCTCTTCAGTCTGAATTTTAATTATTTTGTTTGTCGACATTTCGTTTGTTTGACTTTTTACTTCCGGGTTTGGGTTTTGATATCTTTAATTGTATAAAAGGTTTGATGGTAGATATACTCTGCAGTTGATGAAAGGATGATGGTAAGTATCTGCACTCTTGTTGCTACTGTATCCTTCACCCTGGTCCAGGCTAGCTATGAGTCCCAGCAAGAGTATGAGTACAGGGAGGAGAAGGAGGTTGAGGGATCTCCAGGTAGTGATGAGAGCAGAGATGATACTGAGAGGAGTCTTCAGGAGTTTAAAGAGATCATTAAAGATGGTATTGAGGTAGAATAAAATCGTTTTTTATAAGTCTTCCTTTGATAATTTTTCAGGAGGTTATTCTCCTTTCAAGGGGGTTCTTCCAAATGATTTGAACTTTCAAGTGTATTGTAAATTGTGAACTTTGCATTTCAATGGTTAAAAAAGAGTTATTAGATTTAATTGTTTCTTTTAAAAAGAATTGTACTAAAGAAATATTGTCATCATCTAGGCACGAAGTGACTGGATCCCTATACACAGTAGTTCCAATCCAGATGAACTTGTAGAAAAGTTTGGATTTGCAGCGAGAACATTTAATCTGCTCGGAGGTGGTGAGGAAGAAGAAAAATACGTTGATTATGAGCCAGAGTACAAACCTGAGTACAAGTCCCTCCCACCAGTCTATGTACCAGTAGTCGATAACACACCGTTGTACGCAGCGCCAAGCTATTCCCCTAGCTACTCTGCTCACTCTGCCGCACAAGTACATCACTCTTCCGTGCCAGTACATCATCCGCCCGCGCCTCCCGTCCACGTGACCCACGTGGTGCAGCAGTGTGATACTAAGGGATCTTACTGTATGTGTCACTACTGCAAGTGTGAGAAGGGACATGTTACCTGCAAAGACTACTATGAAGGCTATGGTAGGTGTTTATTTACTTAAAGGGAATCTAGACATTATTTAAGTCATCCCCTTTCTAAAAAAGAGTGGTATGTTTGATTCACAAGAGTGTACAGTTTAAAGTTCCCCTAATTTTCTTAAATGTCTCCATTGCAAAAATTCACAAGTTATTATTAAGTCTACAAGGAACAAACCTCTTTTTAAGCCAAATTTTTTTCATCTCATTTTGAGGATTGAGATTTTAAATATTTTCTCCTTAATCGCAAAAAATCGCTAAAATATCAAAAGAGTAAAAAAGGGGTGCTCCTCTTATTGTATGTATTGTGTACAGGTGAAGGGCGGTCGTTTAGCCAAGTTCTAATGCAAAGAATGGGTTCAATCCTTGAGTCTATTACCGCTAGAAACGATGCTGTAGGTAGGAGCCATTTTATTTTTACTTTTACCTGGAATAGAATTTTTCCATTTTGTAACTTTTTTAAAAGTGAAAACTAAAAAATACAGAAAGAATTTTGTAAAACATTCTTTGGTTTATATTGTTTTGTTTTTTTTATTAAAGATGGACAAGGAAAAGTATAAAATTCATATTTCATTGAATCCAATTTATCTACATTAAAATAAGCTTCTCACAAACATTCCATCGGTAAAATTAGATTTTTTCATTAAAGATATCTGAATAAAATCCTCCAAAGTAAACAAATTTGTGTGAACTTGGAATTAAAGAAAGATTTTGTATTTTTACTTAAAACGATATGGATTTATTATCGTCTTTTTTATTGACATGAAAAAAAACAATGTGTAAACCTTGTTCGTTTTCCAATTTTACTCTGCTCTTGTACTACTACAGCATCTTTTCTTAATACTTTCTTTATATATCTTAATATACAGAAAGCCCTATTATTTTTTATTTTATGAGTCAACACCAGCTAACTAGGTTTTCTGGCTGAAATAGAAAATATTAAAAAACAAAAACAAAAAAAACTTAAAGATAGAGAACACTTAAATTTTTTCATCTCTATATCTTTGCTACCAGATGGTGCAAACCTTGGTATTTCAAGTTTTGACTATTTGACCTAGCAGAACTTTTAGATTAAACCTGCGACATGAGATTGCAAAGATATAAGGATTGGGAATTGAGAGTATGCCACAAACTCTGATTTTTAAATTTTATATTCTTGCACCCGAATGCCATAGACCTTAGATATTTCAAACTATGAATTCTGTTATATCAAACAATCTACGTTTAAAATATCATCATCAGGTTACAGAGACATGAAATCTAACGTTTGAGTTTTTGTCGTTTAACTTAAAATTCATAGTATTTTTTAGGTAAAAAGTATTGTTACGGCGAAGCAGAGGGAGAATTTTGCAATTGTGATTTTTGCAAGTGTCAGCATGGGTACGGGATAAAAGGAGGATACAGCAGTTGTGTGCATTGAAAACGATATTCAGAAAAATCCAGAAAATCAGAGTGTTAATCAGTCGCTCATTGTCAATTCTTATGGCTTAAGGATTATTTAAAATTGTTTGTTTTCATAAAACATCAAATAATGTCAGTACCTTGATACTGTGATTTTTATTAGAAATAAAATTTTTAAAAATGTCATATTTGATTTAACAAATAAAGAAAATCTGATCATATTCTGTTTAATATAGTATTATTTAATTAGGTAAAGACACCTCTAAAAGTTAGTCATCAAATTGTCGCAAGTGTCACAACGCACTTGTTTAAAAAGAGTAATTGGCAAAATACTGCTCGATTTTTGTTTGAGATCGTGCACATCTTGGTTTACATTGTACAGTATTGATAAAAACTATTTTTACAAAATTAGTAATGTAAATGGCTTAGCTGTAAATTTTATAGATGTGCCCTGTAAGATAAAGTTCATTAAAAAAGAATGAAAAACAGCAATATTTTTTTATTTTTAAAGAAAAACATCCAAATTTTTGCTTAATATATCCTGAACACACCTTTAGAAAAAGTAGTATCGTCAGCAACCCTATCTTATACCATGTTCACTCTGAATACTAAACATCTAGTTACAGAGTAAATATTCTATAGAGTTGTAAACACACTATAGTTTACCATGTTCATTCTGAATACTAAATAACTAGTTACAGAGGAGATATTCTACAGAGTATTAAACACACTATAGTTTACCATGTTCACTCTGAATACTAAACATCTAGTTACAGAGGAAATATTCTATAGAGTAGTAAACACACTATAGTTTACCATGTTCACTCTGAATACTAAACATCTATCTACAGAGGAAATATTCTATAGAGTAGTAAACACATTATAGTTTACCATGTTCACTCTGAATACTAAACATTTCGTTACAGAGGAAATATTCTTTGGAGTAGTAAACACGCTATAGTTTACAATGTTCATTCTGAATACAAAAGATCTATCTACAGAGAAGATATTTTTTAGCAAATATGTTTACTATATAACTGGATTTAAAAAAAAATTTTTTTTTGGCAAATTTGCAAATTTTTTGCAAATTCTTACAGTAGAACGCAAAAGCTTTCCAATGATGTATCATTTGTCATATTTGGACATCAAACATGGGATTTAGAGAGGGGGTCAAATTGAGTATCCTGACTTTCAGATACCCCCTGAGGGCAAAACTTAAAAGAGTATCGTTGAACGAAACTCCCGAATTTCCTCTTTGGTGGCTTAACATTTCTGTAGATTTTGATCTATTCTGAGAGATTCGGAAAAAGGGGTAATATAGAGAAACTAAATAAAATATAGTTCATAATAAAAATATGATTTTTACAAAACTGCCTGACCCCATTAATGAAACCCAGGTTTTAAAACTTGTTCTCATTACGATAGCCTGTCTTAAATTTTGAGCTCAGCAGGGATAGGGTTAAATACACACACAGAGGAGATATTCTAAAGAGTAGAAAATACGTTATCACTAGAATTACCCTAGAAGGGCCTAGCTCATTTGATGTACTGTCCCGTCTAGCCTGGTATAAACTGTATGTACCGTACAGCTCGCTCTAGCTGGTTAGATGTCGGTCTGGTTCTTGTAATGAAGAAGACTTAACAATGATATAGTATCGTTTGAAACCATTCTTTTTCTGTTTTCTTTTATCTATTTTAACCGGAGCTGTGACATCAGCCTCTAAAACCAAATTTGGTCAACTGCAACTTGCTTTAACGTATCGGTTGCTCTTTAAAGGGAGTGACCGGCTATGTAAGGTAGTTAAACTGAGTATGTAGTGTTGTGGAAAATTTCTTTCGGATTCATTTGAAACATAAAACTTTTTAAATATCTGTAAATCCTGAGTTTGAGCGCAAATTCAACGTTCAAAACTCTTACTTTGGGGGTGGATACGTTTTCAGAATATGTTTTTTTAAATTATTAAATAACGACGACATAAAATGTAAAAAAAGTTCTACAATAACCTACAAACGTCATGTATAGGAACATGTTTAGAAAATAAAAATTAATCTTATCATCGAAAATAAGTAATCTTGTTCAATTATTAGGTTCTATTTCTCATTATTTTGGTTTCTCATTATTCACATAAATTTTCGCAGATTTTCGAGAATTATTGAAAAGACGACATTTGAAGAATTTGAAGAAATCTGCGAATAAATTCAAAGAAGATAAGATATTCAATATAATAATGAAAACGAAATAATCGATTTAGCATCAATTTATTGACAAATTTCTTTTTGAGAAACCATCTAATTAGATTACTGTATAATTTTTACTTTATTTTTCGTTGTCGTTACTTAATAATTAAAAAAAAACTAATTCTAAAAACGTATCTACCCCCAAACTCAGGATTTACAGATCTTTAAAAAGTTTAATATGTCTCAAATGAATCCGAAAGAAGTTTTCCACAACACTGCATACTCAGTTCAACTACCTTACATAGCCGGTCATTCCCTTTAACTTGTCATTTTTTACAGTTTAAACCTAGTCACTTAGCCGTATAGCCGCAGTTCTCAAATTCATCCAATGACTGGTGAAAGGTTGCAGGGGACTAAAGTGTTTAAACATCCTCTCCATTGTTACGTACTGATATGTGTCCAGGGGGGGGGGGGGCTCAGCAAGTTTATAAAAAGGATAATCTCCACACTTAAAGTTCTCCAACTTTAGATAGAACTATTTTCTGTTCTTTCTGATATACAAAACTATATAAACTAGAGATGGAGGGAATTATAAAGTTTTAAATTCAATTTTACACATCATTCACAGCCACAGATATATACAGCACAAACTTTAGTTCAAAGCTTTTCAGGACTAACTTTTATTTGACATTTTCAGCTCTTTAGTTGCCTTTTCTTGATGCAAAAGTTATCTTCAAAGAGTTATATAAATGACTATAGGCTTTCAGGGAGCTTTGCAACCATCTTTGATTTTAACTTTTAATTGTTTCTCTATCTGCAGAATTTTCTCTTTTAAAATTAACAACAATAACACCAAATTTTTGCGGAATTATCGATTTTTTCATGAATTGTGAAAAATCGAATTTTTTTACGGAAACTTTTTTTAATTCTGACTATTCAGAAATATTTCATGAACAAAATTGGGCTTCATCATTTCAGCCGTTTTGGCGTTTATTAATTACAAACAAACAGACACTCAGACAGATTAAGTTTAGAAATAAGTTGTTTATTTAATATAAATAAAAAATACATACACATAAATAAATATTTTTAACGAAAATAAATACAATTAATGTCTAAAATATCTTAATGATCAAAATAATTTTAACAATTATTATAAAGCTAACAATTCAAAATGCCGTCTGGGAAAGAACCATGATAAAGAATTAATAACAATAATTACGATATAAATGAAGCAGGGTTGCTTTAATTTTAGGAAATTTGAGTTTGAAAAGTAAAATTTACTGAAATCAGTCTCATTATCAACATTTTTTGATGATTAGATAATTTTACATTCTCTTCATGTCTATTGTCTAACATTTAGAAACAAATTAAACAATTATCACTTAATTGTTTCCTCATCGTTAAAAGTTTTAGAGTAGAGAAATGTGTTTTACACATTTTAATGCATTCATGAGGGTCTTTAGTTGAGGGGATGGGGGGGGGGCGGGGTTTGTTGTTTGATAAAAAAGAAATAGGATAATTGTAACTGTGTCTTGTGTTTTAAAATTTTAGTATAGTTTTCGACAAATTATTGATTGGTACAAAAATTTAAACTCTTTCTGCTTATTTTTGTAAATAAGAATGGAATGCCAAAAACATGCCATTTTTTGAGGCAGTTTTCCAGATTAATGAGCATGCTCGTCGTCATATAATTTTAGTGGCACGCTGCACACCATTCCTTAATAACATGCTGCCCACCCTTCATGCCCGTAACCATGCCGGCACTTGCAGTAATCACAATGACAATGCTCTCCTTCCATGCTACCATAGCAATATCGTTTTCCTAAACAACAAATTCAATATATTCCATTGGAAAATATCGGAATTCCGAGTATTCCTAACTTGGGGTATTCGAATTCTATCATATGATTGGAAAGTTGAAACTGGCACCATTTTGAACATCTTAAGAATATCTAATTTTTTAAGTGTAAAAAACCGAATTACATGAAAAAATTAATAAAATATTAATTATTGAATTAGGAAAAAGCTTTTAAAAAAGTGCAACATACTTTCAATGCACCAAAGTTTAAAATCATCTCTAACATTATGGTTCATCATTTTTCCTATAAAACTAGAGGCAAAAGGTTGCCCTGAATAGATTTCTATAATTAAAAAGAATCTGAGTAAATTTTATCTAAAGAGAATAATCAGATAAGATTGATTAATGAATTGGTCTAGGCGGACAGTTTTATAAATAGATTAATGAATTGGTCTAGGCGGACAGTTTTATAAATAGATTAATGAATTGTTTTATAAATAGATTAATGAATTTGTCTCGGCGGACAGTTTTATAAATTGATTAATGAATTGGTCTAGGCGGACAGTTTTATAAATAGATTAATGAATTGGTCTAGGCGGACAGTTTTATAAATAGATTAATGAATTTGTCTCGGCGGACAGTTTTATAAATTGATTAATGAATTGGTCTGGACGGACAGTTTTATGAATAGATTAATGAATTGGTCTGGTGGATGGACACTGGACAATTCGATTAATTGACTAAAAAATTGGTGTCGGAGGAAGTTCAATTAATTGATTATTGAATTGGTTTAGACGGACAGTTTTATTAACTGTCTAATGAATTGGTCTGGGTGGATGGACAGTTTTATTAACTGAAAAATGAATTGGTCTGGGTGGCTGGACAGTTCAATTAATTGATTAATGAATTGGTATGGGAGAAAATACAGTTAAATTAATTGATTAATGAATTGGACTGGTGAATGGAGGGTTCAATTAATTGATTAGTGAATTGGTATGGTGAATGGACAGTTCAATTAATTGACTAATGAATTGGACTGGTGAATGGAAAATTCAATTAATTGACTAATAAATTGGTCTGGGAGAAAATAAAGTTCAATTAATTGACTAATAGGATGGTTTGGTGAATGGACGGTTCAATTACTTGACTAATGAATTGGACTGGTGAATGGACGGTTCAATTAATTGATTAATGAATTGGACTGGTGAATGGACGATTCAATTAATTGACTAATGAATTGGACTGGTGAATAGACGGTTCAATTAATTGATTAATGAATTGGACTGGTGAATGGACGGTTCAATTAATTGACTAATGAATTGGACTGGTGAATGGACGGTTCGATTAATTGACAAATGAATTGGACTGGTGAATGGACAGTTCAATTAATTGATTAATGAATTGGACTGGTGAATGGACGGTTCAATTAATTGACTAATGAATTAGACTGGTGAATGGAGGGTTCAATTAATTGACTAATGAATTGGACTGGTGAATGGACGGTTCAATTAATTGACTAATGAATTGGACTGTTGAATGGACGGTTCAATTAATTGATTAATGAATTGGACTGGTGAATGGACGGTTCAATTAATTGACTAATGAATTGGACTGGTGATTGGACGGTTCAATTAATTGACTAATGAATTGGACTAGTGAATGGACAGTTCAATTAATTGATTAATGAATTGGTTTGGTGAATGGACGGTTCAATTAATTGACTAATGAATTTGTTTGGTGATTGGACGGTTCAATTAATTGATTAATAGGATGGACTGGTGAATGGACGGTTCAATGAATTGATTAATGAATTGGACTAGTGAATGGACGGTTCAATTAATTGACTAATGAATTGGTTTGGTGATTGGACGGTTCAATTAATTGATTAATAGGATGGACTGGTGAATGGACGGTTCAATGAATTGATTAATGAATTGGACTGGTGAATGGACGGTTCAATTAATTTATTAATGAATTGGAATGGTGAATGGACGGTTCAATTAATTGATTAATGAATTGGACTGGTGAATGGACGGTTCAATTAATGGATTAATGAATTGGTCTGGTGAATGGACGATTCAATTAATTGATTAATGAATTGGTCTGGTGAATGGACAGTTCCAATTTAACAGTGTGAACTTGTATCCCTTCTAGTATAGATTAATACACAGGGTTAATCAGTTCATTCATGGAATAGTCAAGGACTTAAACAAAGGAGTGTAATTGATTGATAACAATGTGCAGGGGGGTAGTTTGTGAGAACGGTTTTTGATTTGAATAATTTTTTTAGTAAATCATCCATAATTATAATTTTTCATAACAATCCCAATAAAGTATACATGACTTCAAGTGACCCTCCTGGCGTCCATGTAAAGAGTTTCAGACCCGATTCAAAGCTATACTCTTCGAAGGACATCATCGTCTTTTTCCTATATTCTACTGTTTTACAGTTGATTTTTCATTTTTTTCAACCGTGACTCTGCTGCAAAAAGTCACTTTTATAAAGAAGTAATTAAAAGTCTAAACCGAGCATATACCTCTTTAGATGGAGGATCCCATGAAATTAGGTTCACAAACCGTTTAAAGAGACTGTGAGCGTCAAGTGACCTTCCATGCAAATAAAAGGCAATGTCTGATTTACAACGGTACCCTTGAAAGCTTTGTATATATATTTGTTTCTTTAACCTGTTTATATTCATTTGCGATTTCTCTGCGAAAGTGACTGGCGCATTTCTTGTATAAAAAAATGGAGAAACTCATGGAAAAAACACACTTGTCTTCCACATTTTTTATCAGATAAAAGGTATAAAGGGCACCGTTGTAAATCTAACATTGCCATCTTTGCCTGAAGGGTCACTTAAATTACGCACACAGTCCTTTTGTGTTTTTGTAGCATTACCGTATCCATGTTTCTTATGCTCCTCAGGATCCTTACAGTGAAGTTGTCCCTTTTCACACCGACAATAATGACACTGGCAGTAGCTTCCCTTCACGATGCAGTGGTCACCACTTTTCCTAAACAAATACTGAATTAATACATATATTTCTAAAATTAATTTGAAGGTTTGTAAAACTTAATTATATATCTAGATATTTTGTTGCTCGGCAGATTAATTTAATCATTATTTGATATCCCACATGGTAACAATATTACACTGTAGGAAAAGCATTTAGACGAGAGTAAGACAAAAAAAATTGTTTTCCTTGCATCGAACATTTTTTTTGATATTTCTATCAATCTTTGAGAAATTTTCTCAGAAATAGAAAGTTAGGCCAACGAAAATTTGTTTTCAATTGTTCTAAAAACGTTTCCGATTGAACTAAAAATTTATGGTCTAATGCAGTTTTAAATGTGAGCCGATTCTAACAGAATTTGCGTCATTTTAAGTTTTATCGAAAATGACCAAATGCATTTTGAACTGGCGCAAATTCTGTTGGAAATGCATCATGCATTCAAAAATGTTTTTTAGACTTATCTAAAAAGTTTATAGAACAATCTAAAAAGTTTTTAGAACCATCTAAAAAGTTTCTAGCGCAACCTAAAAAGTGTTTAACAAAAATAAAAAGTGTTTAGAGTTATCTGAAGCATTTTTACATTAGCCTAACTTTTTATTTATAAGAAAAAATCTCAAGAAAAAAATGTTCGATGTAAGGAAAACTTTTTTATTTGACACGCTCACGACATAAATGCTTTTCTTACATACATTGTATGAAAACATAACTTAAAAGCAGAGTTATTGATCCTTAAATCAAAAGTATCCGCAGATCAAACGATCGTGATTTAAAACCAAATGATTCTCATCTCTGTTCAAATTTAAGATCTGTTTCTGTATTTTATATCTTTTTTAACTTTCCGAGCATAATCGTGATCTTAATCTGAATTAATGGGTTCAGTTCAAAATTTAAATTTTGCTTAATAATTATGCCCATCAAATAGATTCTTGTCACAGAGTAGATATAAAGGTTAAGTACAGAAGGCAAGCTGGGCTAAACTGTAGAATTTTAGAAAATTGGTGTTTTTTGTGTATGTATTCTTAAAAACAAGTTATTTTTCCAGTGCTTTCTTTGTTTACTTTCGTTTTTGTTTGTTAATATTTTAGGGTGAAATATCTATCTATTTCTCAGATCATTAAGTATTGATGTATACACCAGCAAAATGCCTACTAAATATATGATCTAAGCTAACGTTTTTTTTCTAGAATCACATTGATAAAAAGCTTACCCTGGATGAACACCATGTGGGCCGTGGTTTGGACCTCCATGTGGACCTCCATGATGAGGTCCTCCAGATAGAGGTCCATGAGCTGGTTTCAGGGTTTCCCTCCGATGAACAACGTGATTACCCTAAAATAAAAATTTTCTAAACCTGAAAAATATCATCCGGAGAAACTTGCAGAAAATAGATACTTTTACTAGTTTTAAAGTAAATTTAGCATTTGTCTTTCAATCCGATAAACGTCAAACATTAAACAAATCAGGCCTGATTTTTTTGGTAACTCTAATGACCACATATGGAATGTTTTTTTTTCTGTAGCATTTTAAAGCTTTGAAAGACCAAATTTTAGAAATCCACCATTAATACAGAAAAATCCTCAAAATTTACTTTTTTATTCAGAGAAACAATAGGCTTTAAGTCAATATTGCGAAATAGAGCGGAGCGAATCGCTATGGAAGCCATTTAACTTAAAAACTCTATGAAAGCCAGACATAATTTATGAAACTTTATTTCTTCTGGAATTTTTAATAATACACCATAATACAACCTTTAGACTCGGTTAGAATGTTCTCGAATGCTTAACATTTTTCAAAGTAATTTCAAAAATAGTTTTTTTCCCCAATGTAATAACAAAGATTGGAAAACTATTGAGAGAAAGATGAGAAAATGACGGGTTTTGTAAAAACTATATACTAATTACAAATACACTGTCGTAGTCATAAAACTTTAGTTTTGGTAGTTATTGAATTGGTAGACGACTGTGAGACTAAAAAAATCGAAATTTTACAAATTTCAATTATTTTTTTAATTCCACGGGCAACACCGGCAACTTTAGCTAGCATCAAATATAAACATCCTCTTCTTATTCAACATTTATTTTCTAATTTGAGACCTCCCATAGTTTTGCAACATTTATTTTCTAATTTTACAAGCTCACCGAAATCTGAAATATTTATCGTATTTCAAAATTGAAGCTTTTTTAAATTTTACTCTGACAAAAGATATGACACCAAAAGAAAAAAAGAAAAACTATTGCAAAATCGTTTTAAAAGTTTTGTTTTTAAATTTTGTGTAAATCGGTTTAGTTGAAGTATCTTTTGTCAGAGTAAAGGTTTTGAATACTTAAAACGAGAAAAAAAGATTTTCAGGTCAGAATGAAAAATGTAATACCTGATTTTCTTCAGCCTGGGAATGAACAAAAACAGCGAAGAAAACGACGACATTTACTAAAAACACAAGTTCCCGCATTTTTTCTTTGGTAAGAAATCTGGACTTTTCTTTGCGGCTTGATTGCTTTAAACTAATGGTTTGGAGAAAACAGAAGGTTTTATATGGACGCCCTCTTAAACCTTAATGCTTCAGGGTCATCGGGTTAAAAATAACATTATTTGTAAAAAAAACTGTTCCTTTGTCAAGGTTTGTGGTTCAAGCACTTCAAAAACATCAAATGGTAAAGTTACAAATTAAAAATATAACATTTTCTTTGTTTCGTTTCGTTACAGAAAATTTAAAAAAATCATCTGAATAAATAATCTTTGATCAAATGTTGTACACAAATTATCAATTACTCTGAATAGAATGGCTTAAAACTATTTCTTTACAAAAAATTATAACATTTCAAATATAAAAAGTATAGCATTTCAAATATAAAAAAGCGGAAAATAAAACGATTTTTCTGGTAACCACCCTATCTTTATATTTGGTAACTAATCTATATTTACAGGGTGCGTGCGGTATTGAAATCTCCCTAAAATGACCTGCACTCCACACATTTCCTGAAAACTAGAGCAGTCACTTTTGCGCGCGGCATATCATTAAATACTCTGGTGATTTCAGTGAGATGGGACTGTGTTGTGTTGTAAAGGGTTCTGATGACATCCTTTTCGATCCAGGACTACACAAAATAATCGAGGGGATTCAAATCTGGGTACCTGAGGAGCCACAAGTTCGTGTCCAAGACGTGCTTCATGTGCGCAATGTACCCCATCCTCTTATGCTTCATTGCATTGCTAATGAACTATGATGAATATGATGTATGATTTGTGAATTGTGCCTTATCTCCTCCTTCCCAATCTTCCTCACCAGCCAATCGATATTGCCCAGCAACCTCCAAATCTGCCTGATGGACGTGCCCAGGTTGTTATCGATAATGTTTTGCACGCTATCGACGATTTCCTCACAGTGACAGTCACCACTGTGCCAATTTTTTCCTTTTTGCACGAAAAATTCTCTAGCTGGCATCCATCCTTGAATAAACGCCGGAATTTTGCCTGAATTTTTAAAACATAAATGCCACGGGCAGCAGTAGTACATTTGAATTTCCGAGCCGGGTCAACCCGGACATTTGGTAAATAAAGCAGACACTCAATAGGACTAGCCGGTGCAACAAGGCTGACGCGGTCAGACTTTAGGTTGAATTTACTAGAGGGTCAGAGGTGCGTGGTGCTTGGATAGTCCTGTGCTTGCCTGAATCTCCCTGCAAGTCTTTCCCGTGCGCAACAGGGCTACAAGGACCACTCTGTTAGTCTTTTTTTAGGGTTACCAACCCCATAGACTAAAAAGATAACAACTTGATAGTAAAAACACACCAAAAAACACCAACAAGACTTGTAATACTTCTTTCTTCTAGAATTATACAGGTTTGTTCTGCGATAATCATGTGATTCATAATTTTCTTTGCCAAAAATTCAAAAATTAGAAGAAAAACAACAGAAATACACCTAAAGGTTTAGGTTTAAAAACACCAGGGCTAAAAAAACACAAAAAAGGTAAAAAAAAAAAACCCACCAAGGTCACGACAATGACTAACTTCACATTGCCGTGACCCTCCTAATCAAGATATCCGGTCCGATTAAATTTGGATCAGCTGATCAATTTACGATTATGCAATGGAAAAAACTACATTTCAAAAATGTATTTCTTCATGAATTAAAGTTGATTTTGAACATTTTATTGTTTTACACTTTACAGTGTAAATAAAACATTTCCGTAAAGATTAAACTCTAACTTTTAAATTTAGAATTCTAATTAAAATTAATTCATTAGTTCGAACATATAAACTTAGCTTCAATGTAGAAAATTTAACTTTTAAAACGTTGGATGTACCTTGAAGAAGCTAAACTAATTTGAAATAAGTGAAAATATAAATTTTAAATATTCCAATTTTATACATGACCCCCCCCCCCAAAAAAAAAAAAAGAATATTCGAAATTTAAATTTTTTGATTTATCTTTAAGGCCGTGATTGTCTAATTTCGATCAATTTGCACTTCATCATTAATAACAAATGTTGAATTTAAAGCAGATAGTTAAACTTGGTATGGTTAGTTCAACTACTTCACAAGCCTCTTCTCGGCTCAATGTAGAACTATCCGTATTCAGACAAACTACTTTTTACAATTCCTTAGTTCCGATATGTGAGGTATATTTCCTCACGGACATATTTTAGTTTCTTCCTTCTACTCTATACTCTATAAGCGCAGTTTTAGTGACATCCTGGAATAATCCAATTTCGTGATGTGCCTGTAAATCTGCTGTATATATAATATATATGTATATATATATATATATATATTTATAAAAATATTCATGTGTGTATATATATATATATCGTCATGTTTAGTGTACAGAGTGAGTATAAAGGGTTGTGTCTGTAAATCAAGGACTAGACAGCTCTAATACAATTGTCTCGGATTCTTCCATCGAGATTATAGACATAGATCGCTTACAGCTCTGGTACAATTGTCTTGGATTATTCCATCGAGATTTTATATGAACGCTTACAGCTCGAATACAATTAATTTTTGGATTCTTCACCGAGATTATAGACATAGACCGCTTACAACTCTGATACAAATGTATTGAATTATTACATGAAGATTATCGGCATAGACTTCTGTTTTACAATTGTTTTGGGTTTTTCCATCGATTTCATAGGCATAGACAGCTTACTGCTCGAATAGAATTGTTAAGTAGAATGGTAAATAATTTGTTCTACAGGATGTTCTGCTAATCTTACATCGACATTTTAAACATAGAACTTTTGCAGTCTAAGTTTTTCTATCATTCATTCATCGACATTATAAAATATGAAAATTTACATTCTAAACTAATCTGGTAACATTTCGTTGACATTTTAAAACATAGAACTTTTGCAGTCTAAGTTTTTCTTTCATTCATTCATCGACATTATAAAAATATGAAAATTTACATTCTAAACTTATCTGGTAACATTTCCTTGACATTTTGAACATGGAGCATTTATTCTAAACTTATATGGTATTCAATCCTCGACATTATAAACATAAACAATTTACAGTTCACTTTATCAATCTAAACTTTTCTGATATTCTTGATTTCTTTTGGTCGGAAAAAGGTTGTTTGCACTTCCTTCTCTTAAATAATAATATAATTTTTATTTTTTTGTTGTTGTTGCGTTCTCAATTTTGGCAAGTTGAATGAAAGTTAGTTTTGCTACTGTCATCCTATCCAGTACCTATACATGTTAAGAAATCCACCGTTATGTGTTAAATGAGAAGAATTTTTTTTTTAACTTAAAATAAATATAAATATTTATTTTAAATGAAAAGATATCTTTACAAACACCTGTAAAAAAACACATCTTTAGGACAAAGTAAATTTTTTCCTCGAGATTTCCGAAATTGAACCAAGGAATTCTGAACTTTACATTCTAAACAAATAGTATTTTTAATGTTTTGCATTTACCACAATTATTCGTAAACAGTGCTTTCATGTCTTTACTTTTCAGCAGAACATGCTAGAAATGTTGTTTTGATTTGCAAGGTTAGAATGAGACTGTAAAGGTGACTGAAACGCACATCTGCCCCTTTAGTAAAAGTAAATTCAACCTATGAAGCATGAAGTCTGTCCGCGTCAACCTTGTTGCACCGGCTAGTCCTGTCCATAGAGCTAGGTACAGTTCAAAGGGGAACCGGAAAGGTTGACCCGGCTCGGAAATTTAGATGTACTACGGCTGCCCGTGCTGGGAACTCTGCAAATATGACGATCCCAAGTTTAAATTTAGCCTTTTTGCATGAATCATTAAACACTCCTTTATGCCAAGTCCATTAGCGCCTGATCAGGGTTCAGCCATGTGTTTGTTGTCTATTCTGAACCAATGAAAATAGTATGGCGGTAACATCTATCTTTCTATCTATCTCAATAATCAATAGGAGATATGAATCCTTCAATCTGCGCTATCAGTAAATGGAAATATTTACTTCTAAAGAAAAGTGGCCTTTAAATGGTTAATTCATTGATTTTGGCAAAGAAATAACCAATTTTTCAGTTGCAGGGAGTCATAAATATATAATTAAGGTAACAGACGATAGAAATTCCGTAGAGAAGACTCTTAAATCTAATCCTTTGTGAGTAACCCTGTACTTTAATTCCTTTACATAAAATTCTTTTAAAATAAGAATGAATTTCACTTTCTAATAGTACACTGGGGACCACTAATATGTCTCTAAAGGCGCAAAATAAATTATCTTAAAATCATCAACGTTTTTATCTTTAATCTGAAGAAAAAAAATTTTTCAGGTAGATCTGTCTTTTTTATGTTTTATGTTTTTATGTTAGATGTTTTTGTCTAATAATATTGTAAATAATCTTTAAATTATGCATGATTTATTATGTATTAAAATGTTTAAAATTTCAGTCCTTTTTCTCGCGCCCCCCCCCTCTCTTGACCTTTATGTTATATAATATTGCCTGATATGTGAGAGGATATATAGACTATATACAGCTACACACAATCAACATAAACCTTCCAATCCTTAATTCTTTCAGACAACCATATTGTTAGTCGGAGTATACTGTTTCCTTGGAATAATGAGGCACCAATCAATCAATAAATTCGTTTAGCAAATTGATAACATCCAAGGTTGGTTCTGGAGCGGGGGAGGCAGAAGGTTGAAATGCTATATTTGTTATAGCAAAAGTTTTTTTTGTTTTTAGTTTTTATGTTGAGAAAGAGGGTGATAAGCTTCTCCAATGTGAGTTTTCCCTTAGATTTGAGATAGGGGAGTACTTTACAAGACCTTTGTAATTTCCCTTAGAGTTGAGATAGGGGAGTACTTTACAAGACCTTTGTAATTTCTCTTAGAGTTGAGATAGGGGAGTACTTTATAAGACCTTTGTAATTTCCCTTAAAGTTAAGATAGGGGAGTACTTTACAAACCTTTGTAATTTCCCATAGAGTTGAGATAGGGGAGTATTTTACAAGACCTTTGTAATTTCTCTTAGAGTTGAGATAGGGGA